TGAAGGAAAGCGGATATTAAAAAGGGTAGTAGGAATAAGCCCAAGAGCAACGTCACCAGCTTCGAAGTCGACGAACGGCACCGAGAAATGAGGTCTACCTCACTCCTCTTTCTTTTCCTCTTGCTTCTTCTCATCCTCCGATTCACTCCAATCAAGCAATTCCATGAGCTGCTCATCGGACAACTTCTCGGTCCGCTGCTCCGCTTCCCGCTGCAGCTCCTTCATGTACTTCTTCTGGCGCTTTCTTGCGTTCTTCCCCCACTCCGGCACACCACTGGCGGTAGCAAAGTCCTCGCCGCTCTCGATCTCATCGTCCGTATTCTCAACCTCGCCTAGCACTTTGCCGCCACCGGTGGCGCCACCACGCAGTGCATTAGCTGACATCTTGGCCTTGTTCTTTCTCTTGGCTTCTCGCTCTGCCTTTTCTTTCTCCAATTGCTTCTTGCGGTCTTTTTCGGCCATTTTGCGGAACCAGGCTTCGATGTAAGGACGGATGAGGATGTAAACGACGACGGAGACGATGATTTTCGTCCAGCGCTTGGCGCTCATTTCGACGAATGATCTGTAGAGATTCTTGAAGAAGCGTTTGAAGACTGTTTCGACGAAGGTGTAGAGTTGGCCGAAGAAGTCGTTTAGGGCGTCGGATACGACGGAGGAGGATTCGGAGGTCGCCATGGTGGATGGTGATGTGATCAACAGTCTTTTCTCTTTCTTGTGAGATTTGGAGTGAGGTCTCGTAGATGATTGAACCTGAGGAGAACTGGACACAGCGGAAAAATGGTAGTATCCCAATGCCAATCCCGCGAAGAAGCGGGTCGGAGGGGAAGGTGGTACGGAGTAGCAGATAAGAACCGCTTTCGATGCGGGATTTATTATTGTTCCCAAAAGAAAGACACGACCCCAAGGCCTGCTGCTGACCTCGTCACAAAAAATGCACAATAGAAAGGTCTTGCGATTGAGCAAACACCTTGGAAAAGGAGTACCTGCAGTCTCGATGCTCTTCGCAGAGCAGAATTCCGTAAAAGGTAATATTCCTTTGCAGGTTAGCGGTATCTACGCCGCTGGCACGTGACAGCGGCCAAACATGCGAAATGGGCGCCTGAAGCTCCACGACGCGTCTATCTTTAACGTAGTATATGTTGACACTTTCCGTGGGATCAGAGAACCAGTTAAACGAAACTGTGTCGTTCCCTTCTCTGTACAAACATTCGTATAGCGACTTTACGTTCTGGACACGAAAATATGGATCCGAATGAGGAAGTCAGCCTTGAAGAGGTATGCAATATCTACCTAGATCGCGCCCTTCGAGGAACGTTGCAGTTGCTGATTTAGTGATCTAGCGTTTGAAATCCGCTCTTTGGCTTTCTATTGGCAAAATTGTTGACGAGGAAACTATCAAGCTCGGCGTCAACGCTACTCCTCAGTTCATTGGAGCATTGACAGAGATGGTATGGGCTCAAATTGGTATGTGTATCATGTCAACCTGCTTGTCTGCGCCCCAGCTCGCTACAGGCCAAAGACACAGTGTGTGATATACTTGATCCGTTGTGGATTTGAGCTGATGGTGTCTAATCTTTACAGAAACCGTTAGCCAAGATCTGGAGTTCTTTGCTAAGTGAGTTATCCTTGTCTGGGCTTATTGAATGAGTGTTATTGTGTTGCAAATTTGCTCCGTGCATGGATGCTTCGTCCTAGGATTTTCCTGAACGCCGGCTGACAAGGTGCCTCCGATGCAGGCATGCCGGCCGCTCTACGATCAATGTCACTGATGTGATGTTGCTTGCGCGCCGCAACGAAGGGCTAGAATCGATTCTTCGAGCTTTCGTCGATCAGCAGCGAGAAGAGGAATCCTGATCCAATGCGTGTAATAGTGCCTTCTAAGGCACCAGTCTGTCACATACACGGTGGATCGGCTCGATTTCTATTGATGGATCGGATACGCCACTCAAACCCTAACCAGTCCCCAATCGCAAACGGTAAGGTACTTCTGAACTGTTTCGAGTAACCTGATGGCGCAATTACTCATGGTGAATCTAGCGGATGTATTTGCGCCTGTTATAGTGGGAGCCCGCCAAGATATCTCCCCAGTTTCATTATGACGCCACTTCCCCACATTATGCCCGCATAAGATACCATCGTTTACAAGGCCACTGGGATCCGATTTGGTAGACGCCACAGCTGCCCTTACGGCGCCTGCTTCGTTGCGGGGAACTTGGGCTCGACCACTTCCTTGATATCAGAAATGCCTGCCTGTGTTCCGTCAGAACGGCTCATGATAAACATCGGAAGAAGTGTATTAGCGAATCGGCTGTGTCTGCTTTCCCCACGAGCCCCGATAGTCACAAATGAGAACTCGGGGCCATGGATGCACCTGACGACCAATATCATCAATGGTGTAACTATGATCAATGGACGATACAGTGTATCTGCCAATTAAATGCGCCGTCTAATGTACATACTTGACTCATGAGCTTCTTGAGGATTTACCAGGTCACGCTCAGGATATCTATCTGATATAGTCTAACGTCATTGCAACGTTCTTTGAGAATTGTCCTTGCTTCAACGACAAACTTCACTATATATACTCGTAGAAGTCATCATGTTTCAGCCGCTTAGTTGGAAGAATCAGTCAAACCTTCAATGGCGACGCTGTTATACAACTTTGTCAGCAGAGTCTCGGATCGTTCCCGGAGGTCAATATTAGAACAGATAAGCCTTCAAAATGCTGAACACTACAATTGACTCTGTGAATATGGTACGAACCAGGCTCAAGACAACGCCTACAATGAAGTCGGTTCGCTTCCACGGACCTGGCGATATCCGGATCGAGGAAATTGACGAGCCAACTTGTGGCAAGGGCCAGGTCAAGGTACGTCAGATTCTACCTCAGCAAACGAATTTTACTGATGTATTGGAAAATATAGTTGCGGCCAGCGTTCGTGGGGATATGTGGCAGTGGTAGGTCTGCCTGGTACTATTCAGGCTTCGCAGATGCTAATCCGGAAAGATCTCCATGAGTATAGTGCCGGCCCCGTTCTCATCCCAAAGGAGCCACACAAAATTACGGGGACTTCTTATCCTGTGACATTGGGTCATGAGTTCGCCGGCATCGTTGAAGAAGTCGGCGAAGGGGTAACGCATCTATCGCCTGGACAGCGAGCAGTGGTTCGACCGACAATATTCGACCGACAATGCTGCTCCTGTAAACTTGGGTATGAGTACTGCTGCGAGAATATTGGGTTTATTGGATTATCCGGTAAGACGCGCGTCCAATCCGTATACATCAGATCGGGCCCCTGAAACTGAACACTTGTAGGATATGGCGGCGGAATGGCGAAGCACACCGTGGCGCCCGCTGAGCACTTCTATCCGCTGCCTGATAATGTGTCTCTCGAGGCGGCAGCACTGATCGAGCCGCTGGCCGTGGCCTGGCATGCCGTCAACCTATCTCCGTTCAAGGGAGGGGATAACGTCATGGTTGTCGGGGGTGGTCCGATTGGGATTGGCATTGTACAAATCCTGAAGCTTCAGGGAGCGAAGAAGATCATGGTTGCCGAACTACTCGACAACCGCAAGAAGCTCGCCCTTGAGTACGGAGCCACAGACATTATCGACCCTCGCACATGTGATGTACCGGAGAAAGTGCGGGAATTGACGAATGGCGTGGGTGCCGATGTCATCTTCGACACCGCAGGAGTGGAAGTAGCCTTGAACGGAGCCATTTCCGCGTGCCGTGTCCATGGCACTATCGTCAACATCGCCGTCTGGGAGAAGCGGCCTTCTCTACGCGTGAACGAGTTGATGTACCATGAGGTTAACTACACCGGCGCAGCGCTATACGATGAGAGCGCTTTTCGAAATGTGATCCAAGCGCTGAACTACGGTAAGTTCACAGCAGCCTGAGGTTCAGTCATTCTTGGCTGACACGGGAAGTTTCAGGTCAATTGAAACCCGAAGGGATGATCACAGCAAAGGTAACAATGGACGAGGTTGTCGAAAAGGGCTTCAAGACGCTTCTTGGAGATCGGGGTGTGCATTGCAAGATCCTGGTCGATGTACAGGCATCATGACTGCATTCCCTTCCTTTCGCATTCACAATTGTCGATATCTTTCCCACATTTCCCGCCTTGTTCTATGTACATAATTAAATCATGACGATGTCATGATGTTCGACAGTCGATTTTGGTGGGAGCCTGAGGATGGCTGTGCACTGTGGCTGAGACCTTTGCCTTTTATTACCTAATCCAACTTAGTTAGTTATCAATTATTGCTGAAAAATTTCCTCTTCCGGATGCACTAAAAATATTCGGTGGCTCTTTTTTCACATGTAATCAGATCAGAGCAGGACATAGTTTGAGTGAACATGGGAATGATGAAATGGAATCATGGAACGTTGGAGGGCACAGTACCTCTCTGCTATGCCACAGACCAGGGCACCTTGACTTCTTGTGGGCCGGGAAGGCTTAGTCCTCCACAATAAAGGCCAATGAGCGAGAAAGGGTCCAAGTAGTGACATCAGCCGACTCTTCCCTACTAAATAGTAATAAGGTCGTGATGGAGAGCATTTTCCTTTGCCGCTCCATCTTCCAATCACTGTCAATAATTCGCCGTCATCTGCGGATCAACCTCGCGATCTTCTGGATACTCAACGGATGGCGGCCTGTGAGAAGCTCTCATCGCTGGTTCTGGGGTCCATCGTCCCCTTGGCACCCAGCAAATGCCTCCACCGATCTTCATGCTGCGACACCTTGTCCCCTGGGACTTATTACAAGTGCAATCTTGCTGCCTCCGAGGGCTGCATCTTTTCAATTTCTGCACTCTTTTATTCTCCCTGAAGGATCCCGTTGCCTGCAGCGCATTTCTGCGAGATTCCTAGTTACACGAATCGCCTTTACTGGCTGTCTCCTTGAAAATATACCTCTCGCCCAGTTGAATTCCATACTTACCGTCAACTGTTTATTTACGACCTCTCGCCTAGTCGCGAGTGAGAAATAGTCAATATGGGAGCCGGCGGCGTCGTTATCCGCTTTTTCAATTTAGCAATTCGAGTGCTCCAATTTCTCGATGCCGCAGTCATCCTGGGGATCTTCTCATACTTCCTGGCTGTCCAGAGCCAACATAACCAGCCCATTCCAACATGGATGAAGGCCGTTGAGGGACTTTCCGGCGCAGCAACTTTGTACGGACTACTCGGATCTCTCTTCACCTGCTGCGTGGGAGGGCTTGCCTTCTTCGCCTTCCTGGCCATCGTGCTTGATGTGTGCTTCATCGGAGCGATGATTGCCATCGCCGTGATGACCCGTGACGGAACCCAGTCCTGCTCCGGGAACGTCAATACTCCCGTGGGCTCCGGCGCTGATAATGTCGACAGCGCATCTGGCGTCCGGCTGGGCTACGCATGCATGCTCGAAAAGGTCACTTTTGCAGTCTCGATTATCGGAATGTGAGTCAGACACTTTCCCTCTAGCCAATTTATCAAAGGCCCATTGCTGACCTATGAACTACCAGTTTCCTCTTTTTGATCTCAATTCTCTTCCAATTCCTCTACGCCCGCCACCACAAGCGCGAAAAGCGTTTCGGCCCTTCCCCGGCAAACGGGTACACCTACGGCACCGGCACCCAACGCCGTGGCTTCTGGCGCCGCAACAAGCGTACCCCGGAAACTGCCAGCGCAGACGACATGCTTCCTGGACACCCTACCCCTCGCGACGTGGAAATGGGCGATAGCGCCGAGAAACCCAGCGTCTTCGGTGGTCGCTTCTTCTCGCGCAACAACAATGCTGCGGCTAATGGCTATGGTGGCTCTGCCTATACCGGCAACTATTGATCATGGTCATTTTTCCCGTGCAATCGGTTTTCCATTGCGTTGGAATGCGCGAAAACACGCTTATATGCGTGGATAATGTATTTGACCGAGCCTCGTTTGCTGAGTGGAGTTGGAATTCAATTCTGCTGGAGGAGATTAGGTCTATGATTGTATGAGCTAGTTGATGATACCATTTCTAATTCATGTACACTTTGCTGTATTGTAATTGCTCCGTGGAAGTGGTACGGTTGAGATAATAATTTGACATTTTTAGGATCATATTACATCCATCTACCTAGAGCAGCGAACGCAGGGCAGATTAATAATTAATCAATTAAAGGTCCTTGACAGAAGGTACACAAGGAATAACAAGACCGAAACTCAAAAACCGAAACAACCTCTCACATATAGCAACCACGAGAACACAAGTTGAATTAAGGATGGTATGTGCATACACCGAAAAGTCGAAGGCCGTTGCAAATATTAAAGGAACGGGGAAGACTTATGATAACCCTACGTACGCTCGATAACACCGTGGCTGCAGCGCGTACCGGCGGCAACAGGTCCCATCTGAACAGGTTTGCCCCAGTCGCACTTCGCCCATGTCTGACCATCGGCCCCGCACAGGATCTCGCCGTGTTCGCAAGTCTTTGGGAATCCTTGCGCAGGCGCAGCCTCGGAAGGCTTTGGCTCAGGGGCATGCTCAGGTTCGGGGTTGTCCTTCGGCTTGGGTTTGGGTGCAGACTCTGGCTCAGGCTTATACCCAAACTGGGGCTTGGCCTGAGACTCAGTTTGAGGCTTGTATCCAGACTCAGCAGCGGACTGAGCAGACTGGGGCTGGTATCCAGAGTCAGGGGCAGATTGACCAGACTGGGACGACTGAGGCTTGTATCCAGACTCAGCAGCGGACTGAGCAGACTGGGGCTGGTATCCAGAGTCAGGGGCAGATTGACCAGACTGGGACGACTGAGGCTTGTATCCAGACTGGGCGGCGGACTGAGATGCGGACTGAGGGTTGTACCCAGAGTCTGGGGCAGATTGACCAGACTGGGATGACTGGGGCTTATACCCAGACTCTGGGGCTGCTTGAGATGCGGACTGAGGGTTGTACCCAGAGTCTGGGGCAGATTGACCAGACTGGGATGACTGGGGCTTGTACCCAGACTCTGGGGCAGATTGACCAGACTGGGATGACTGAGGCTTGTATCCAGACTCAGCAGCGGACTGAGCAGACTGGGGCTGGTATCCAGAGTCTGGGGCAGATTGACCAGACTGGGATGACTGGGGCTTGTACCCAGACTCTGGGGCAGATTGACCAGACTGGGATGACTGAGGCTTGTATCCAGACTCAGCAGCGGACTGAGCAGACTGGGGCTGGTATCCAGAGTCTGGGGCAGATTGACCAGACTGGGATGACTGAGGCTTGTATCCAGAGTCTGGGGCAGATTGACCAGACTGGGATGACTGAGGCTTGTATCCAGACTCAGCAGCGGACTGAGCAGACTGGGGCTTGTATCCAGAGTCTGGGGCAGATTGACCAGACTGGGATGACTGAGGCTTATACCCAGACTCTGGGGCTGCTTGAGATGCGGACTGAGGGTTGTACCCAGAGTCTGGGGCAGATTGACCAGACTGGGATGACTGGGGCTTATACCCAGACTCTGGGGCTGCTTGAGATGCGGACTGAGGGTTGTACCCAGACTGGGCGGCGGACTGGGAAGACTGAGGCTTGTACCCAGCTTCCGGAGCGGATTGAACAGACTGAGCCTTATATCCAGAGTTCGTGGCGGCTTGAGACGCCGGCTGAGGCTTGTACCCAGACTCTGGGGCTGCTTGAGATGCGGACTGAGGGCTGTACCCAGAGTCTTGGTTGAATTGACTCTCAGGTTGATACCCAGACTGAGCGGCGGACTGAGCAGACTGAGGCTTATACCCAGAGCCTGGGGCAGATTGACCAGACTGGGATGACTGAGGCTTGTACCCAGAGTCTTGGTTGAATTGACTCTCAGGCTGATACCCAGTCTGCGGGGTGGCTTGGGATGAGGATGATTGAGGGCTGTACCCAAACTCTGGGGTTGATTGGGACGCAGACTGAGGCATATATCCAGACTGTGGGATAGATTGGGATTCAGACTGCGGGTTGTAACCAGACTCAAGGTTAGATTGACTCTCAGGCATGTAACCAGACTCTGGGGTGGATTGAGACTGGGGCTGGGGCTGATACCCTAACTGCGGGCTTGCTTGAGACGAGGACTGAGGCTTATAACCTGATTGCGGGCTGGCTTGAGATGACGACTGAGGGCTGTAGCCAGACTGTGGGGCAGCCTGGGATGCAGGCTGAGGGTTGTACCCAAACTCCGGGGAGGATTGACTCTCAGGCTTATACCCGGAATTCCCTGTGGACTGGGACGCAGACTGAGGCTTATACCCAGACTGTGGGATAGATTGAGATGCAGACTGTGGGTTGTACGCGAACTCAGGGCTAGATTGACTCTCAGGCATGTAACCAGACTCTGGGGTGGATTGAGACTGGGGCTGAGGGTCGTACATGAACTCAGGACTGGAGGGCTGTGAAGGCTTGGGCCTTTCGCGAAGGGGTGCGTGGAGTCGAGTGGGTCTCGCCGAGGGCGTAGCCACAGAATGGGAGCTTGAAGGTGTCGCGGGAGACTGCGAACTTGACGGTTTGACCACATGATGGGAACTCGAAGGAGAGGCCAGAGAATGGGAACTTGAAGATGTAGCCTTAGATTGAGATGTGGCTGGAGATTGGGCACTTGAAGATGTAGCAGTGGAGGCAACGGCTTGATCGGACGAAGAGGCCTTGGGACTGTTGCTGCTCGAGTCACTGCGCAGGAAAGGCGCATCGCTCTCGCACTGGTATCCCTTGCCACTCAAGGAGCCCTCGACGGAAGGTCCGGGGAGAGGAAAGTTAACTTCCTGGCCTTCCACTGTCTTACACTTGCCGGGTCCGTTGATGTTGGCCTGGAACAAGGGTGGAAGGCTGTCAAAGCCGCCAGCCCGGCGGGAGAAGGCAGGAGACAGGTCGCGAGCGTGCTGACGGGCCTGAGAGCCACCCTTGATGGTGACCATAGCACAGTTCATGTACATCTCGCGGTTTCCGATCTTGTTGAACCACGACCAGGCTAGGAGGGCCTCGCCAGACGGGGCGTCCGAGGGAATTTGAAAGTTATACTTGGAGGTGAGAGGACACCCCCCGAGCATTGAATGGATAACTTTGAAGGTCTTGCCCTTGTCATATGAGAGAGCAATCTGGCAGGAACCTCCGCCGTGGGTCGCGCTGCCTTGTAGTTCAAGTTCGTACGCTTGGCCGGGCTTATAGTCAGCAACAGACTCAAAGGGATCATTGGCATATCCCTTGCACGGGTAATCAGATCCATCTGTTGACAGGGGGTTCGTGTAGGAGTAATCTTTTTGGCCATCCGCGTCCGGATTCAGCGGGCTCCGAATGGGATACGGCTTCGACATCTGCATATGTCCGGAGACACATGATGCCAAAAGGGCCGAAGCCACGAACAGGCCCTTCATTGCGAGAGCAACCCTACGAATATCTCTGTTTGAAAGGAAGATAATTCAAGGCGACTCTGTATTTGTAGAGTTAATAATGTCCGGTCAACAATAATAGTCGTGTCCCAGGCGTTTGCACGAGAGACACAAGAACAAGTAAAGGGTTCTCTCAGTGTCATCGGCTCATACAAGCTAGACAAGGAACAAGGAAACTCACCTATTAATCTTCAGACAACCACGATTGCCAGACACGGAGCTGTAAGGAACAAAGCTCGCAAAGAGGTGAAGAAAAAGGGGGCAAACGAACTAGACTCTCCTGCTCAGCAACCGGAAAGACAGCCTCACATTTTGTTTTGCTGGTTGCTGAGCAGCCTTTTAAGTCAGTCAAGACATGAGCTGGTATGTAACTCTGTACGACTCCATGGCATTTGGTTTCGGATTATAATCACCAAGAATGAACGCTGGATGCCATTGTCGGATCCACTATGGCGTCCACGAGTGACAGCTAATCACTCTGTTTTGAGGAATGAAGGAATGCTGGAGGTTCAACGGACTGTTCACCAGTAAGCATCGTGGTCGCTATGGCCTTGATACTTAGCACGGACCTTGTCAAGTCCAACGAGGCAGTATCCAAGTCAGACCCCATAATCCGCGTGCGGTATTTTGCCGGCAGAGATGATCGCCTGGTGGTTGTATATGGAGAGAGTGAGGACCTTCCATGACGACAATTTGTCGTTGACCACCACCTTGTTTTTCGGGACAGGATTTGAAGATTCTGGATGAATGGAGTTTAGATGATGTGATATGAACTGGCTTCCACGAGGAAAAGGACGACTTGTGATGGAATAGAGAGGCAGAAGAAAGTCACGGTTGATGGCTGCGGGAAGTTGGAGATACTATGTACCTACTCCGTACTATACAGAGCTTGGCAGTGACTAGTCTCCTATTCCTAAGGACCCGAGAAGCAAACATGCGCCCCTGAAAGGCTTAAATTGACCATCAGCTCCAGCCCCCTAACGTAGTACTGATCAAGCAGACGCGTCCTCTGGATAGGTAATCCTGACCACTCATTTGCTGCTGCTGTTTGCATTTACACATATCTTTTTGTTTTCCTCGGTTCCTTGGCTTCTTCCCTCATTTCTGCCGCCAGACCCCGATCGATCAAACGATTAACGACTAAGGATCATCGATCATCGATCGCAGAGAGAAAATGATCCGTCATCACAGTTAGAACTCAACTCGTCAGCAACTCCAACCTGTTCAACAGCAGGTTTTGCTGGATGTTGCTGCGGCCTACTATTTCGCAGCAGCAGAGGATATTAGCTCATGCTCTTCTCTTCCAACATGCCGCAGGTTCCCGTGGCCTGGAATTTGGCCCACCGCAAGCTTCGATTCGCCACGTCTCCTCGTCACGGTGGATAACTCAATCAGCTTCCGTGGCGAGCCAAAGTCTTTCTTATTCTCTAGCTCAGAGCCGTGGACGTTCCTTAGTTTCTGTTCGCTCTTATGGACGCGTTTCCGGCGTGATTGCGACACATTCCTCGGCTGGTCGATCGTTTAAACTGTTGACCACGCCAACTTTTCCTCCATACCTGCCTTCGAGAGGATTGTCGCGGTCTTCGGAATCTGTTAGCATGCCAGCCAGTGCTGTTGCGCCGGACGACACCCTCCGGATCGGGATTGTCCCAGAAGCAACCAAGTCAAACGACGAGCCATCTCAGGATGTTCCTTCAGACCCTGAATCAGATGACGAAGTTCCTGTTGAAGCAGAGGAGCTTCAGGATGCTCTCTCGCGTCCCCCACCTGTGAATAGTAGCTACCTTCCGCTCCCCTGGAGAGGCCGATTAGGCTATGTAAGTCAGGTTGATTCGCGCATTCTTTCGGATGCTGGCCCCTCTGTAGTTGTGTTACTTATGGTGTGTAGGCTTGTTTGAATACATATCTACGGAACGCGAACCCGCCAGTGTTTTGCTCTCGGACCTGTCGCATCGCGTCCATTCTTGAAAACCGACACCCACTTGCGGATCCCTCGCAGCCGCCTCATCCGACCAAGAACCGCCCTGATCGGGATCGGACGCCTGATGTTGCCCGCGGACAGGCTTACGTTGAGTCTCTGGGACTGGCCAATGCGCGAGATCTGATTAAGCTCCTGCGCTGGAATGACAAATACGGCATCAAATTCATGCGGCTGAGCAGTGAGATGTTTCCTTTCGCCAGCCATAAAGAGTATGGCTATAAACTTGCCTCATTTGCATCAGAGGTCCTCGCTGAGGTTGGCCGCGTGGTTGCCGAACTCGGTCATCGAGTGTCCGTACATCCTGGCCAGTTTACTCAGCTTGGCTCGCCCAGGCTGGAAGTCATTGAAAGCTCGATCCGCGATCTAGAATATCACTCAGAGATGTTGCAACTCCTCAAGTTGCCTCCGCAGCAAGATCGCGACGCTGTCATGATTCTCCACATGGGGGGTGTATTCGGCGATAAAGAGGCCACACTGGATCGGTTCCGGGAGAATTACAAAGGTCTTTCCCAGGATATCAAGAATCGGCTCGTTCTGGAGAATGACGATGTAAGCTGGTCAGTGCATGATTTACTGCCCATTTGTGAGGAGCTGAATATACCGCTTGTCCTCGACTTTCATCACCACAACATCGTCTTCGATTCCAGCCAAGTGCGCGAGGGTACTTTGGATATCATGGATCTTTTCGACCGGATCAAGGCAACTTGGACACGTAAGAACATCACGCAGAAAATGCACTATTCGGAACCTATTCCCTCCGCCATCACGAATCGGCAGCGGCGAAAGCACAGCGATCGAGTGTCCACGCTTCCACCTTGCGACCCGACCATGGATTTAATGATCGAGGCCAAGGACAAGGAGCAAGCCGTTTTTGAATTGATGAGGCGGTTTAAGCTGCCTGGCCACCACCTTTTCAATGATGTATTGCCTTACACGCGAACCGATGAGAACAGACCTTTCAAGCCCCCTCGCCAAACCAAGAAGAACGGAGGGTTCGTTGACCTCGAAGCTCAGGTCCCTCTTGCTCCTACTGTTCCCGAGGAAGAAGTAGGCATGGGAGGCCCGGAAAGAAGAGTCTATTGGCCACCAGGTATGGAAGAGTGGCTTCGGCCGAAGAAGATCATTCGTGTCAAAGCACGGCAGAGTCCGGCAAAATTGAATGCATCGAAGAAGAAGGCAAAGGCAAATGAAGACTCGTCACAAATAAAGGACGAGGATGCTGATGAGGAAGATGATGGGCCAGCGACTCCCAAGCCTAAGACTTCTCGTCCACCCAAACGCACTGCAAGTGTGAAAAAACAGACAAGCAGGAAAAGGAAAGCTTCACCGACTCCACCCTCTACCCCGTCGGTCTCTGATATCGAGGGTTTAGATCTGGCGGAACCGCCCATTCTTTCTGGTACTGAGACTGCCAATACTCGCCGTAGCCGACGCGCAACGACTGCGAAGAAGGTCAATTACGCCGAGGAGAGCGACTCTGCATGAAAGGATTTGCTTTATATTTCTGATGGGACATTGTCCTCAATGGCTGCTGAGCCAGTCTTCTGTATCATTAAATCACTTTCAGTCTCATACAATGTATTATTATTGCATATGTGAAAGTCACTCTCCAAGGGAAATGATAAGGATATTTTGACAAGGATCTATTAATAGCAGTATTTTTCAGGGGCTTCATTCGATTCCATCATTTTCCGTCTCTTGTAAGTCGTTAGTGGTGCATCTGCGGGCGATGATGAAATGATGCCGCCGGGTCCTGTTCCGCTTCTCCACAACTTGAACTCACAAAGAGGCTTGACGGCTTCTGGACTATCTATCTAGTCTCATTTTCTGCATCCCCGTTGACTCTGTTGACTCTGTCTCAGTTCCTGTCACCATTAGATCAGCATCTGTTCGCCATGTTCACTTGATCCTTGATCACGTCTACTCGGGAATCACAGCCCACAGAATCTCTGATCCGGCGACACCTAAGCACAGATCTCGGACAACCTTGCCGCCTACGAAGCTCATCAATCGGGATCACCTGGTTTTTCTACGACCTTGACGTTGATAGTATCAAGCTCTGCTTGTTTCTTCCGAATCCAACTCGAACTAGATTCCTTCCATATCGACCCTGGCTCCCAAAATCTATCCTCGCAGTCGTTGGCTAGCGCCCCCGCCGACTTCCCAGTTCCGGCGCCAGCCCCTCTTTCGGTTTCTCCCCTCGCTCCTTCGTCCCTCGAATCGAGACCGACAGACCAGGCCAGGGCGGCTTCTTCGTTTCTTTCGTCTCCTCATCGGCCCTCACGCCACCCGCCGCGCTCAGCTGCGCCTTTGGGGTCTTCGGCACGAAACTATCCCCGCTTTCCGCCACCGAGCACAAGCAAGGGTCTATCGCGCCATCGTTCAGCAGCAAGCAAGACGGGCACGTAGACGGATCTCGGGCAAGAAGGGTATACTTGAGCTTCTGCTTCTTGGGCGGAGGGGACCACCCAGGCGACTGGGTGCTGGCTCTGTTGGAGGGTCGCAGCTTGTCCCGCGCGTGAGAGGTCTGCGAGCAGCAGGACAAGCCCCGGATGCAGCTGCGAGATCCTCGATGTCCCAGTACGAGTCGTCCGCGTCTACATCGTGGGGCGCCGGGGGTGGCGGGCGGCGCAAGAAGGTCTACGAATATCTGAAGGCGGCTAATGAGCTACGGCAGACATACACGGCGCAATGGGCGGCACAGAGGAATAACCAGCGTGATTACAATGAGGATTACTACAATACCCCTGGTGCATTTTCCGATGTGGAAATCACGCGGTCTGGAAATGAGGAGATGGTTCTGTTCCCAAGCTATGCGAGGAGACTTGTGAAGGGAAAACGGCCGGAGGTTCAGGCCCGCCAGCGGCGCGATTCGACTTCGACGATTGATGAGTACCGCGGTGTGTCGGACGATCCAGAGCCCGCGTCCGAGTGGACACAATACGAGGACGAGCATGCAGTTGTGGCTGTCGATGTGCGAGGCTGGGTCTACGCACCTCACCGCGGGCCGATGACCCGGAAACATCGCTTGCTGATTGCTCTGGCCAGGAAGTTGAGCGGCATACCTGCTCCTAACACTACATCGGCTGATGATGGTAACGCGACTGTAGCGGTTGGAACTTCTACGAAAACGAGCGGGGCTAGCGAGGAGGAAATGGTTGATCAAGAGATGCAGTCTATCATCAATAACGCGGAGAAGAGCGCAGATCCTGTGTGGAAGGGCAGTGCTTCCGCTGATCGCAGTTCAAGTGCTTCTTCTGAGAAGACCACGCAACTCTCGCAGTTGAGCAAAGATGAGCTGACAGTTGCGAATGCGCATCTCATGGAGAGACTGCGCCCCTTTCTTACAAATCCCAGGGCGGCAATGCCTGTGACTGTCTTCTTCTACAACGACGAGCAAAGCCAATCGAGAAACATCATGACAGACGAATCGGGCCACTTCAATCTCCGTGCAACACTGTCGTTTGTACCAACTCACATCCGCGTGTTGGCCTCAGAGGAACTGTCCGCTACAAAAGAGATCCAAATCATCGAGCCAACAGGTGTCAGCTTGATCAGTGACATTGACGACACTGTGAAGCATTCTGCCATCACAAACGGCGCGAAGGAGATATTTCGGAACACATTTGTCCGCGAACTGGCCGACCTCACAGTGGATGGTGTCACTGATTGGTACAACGAGTTAGCCAAGATGGGTGTAGAGATTCACTACGTCTCTAACGCACCATGGCAACTCTACCCGTTGTTGGAACGTTATTTCAAACTGGTTGGACTTCCTCCAGGGTCCTTCCACCTGAAGCAGTACAGCGGCATGCTGCAGGGAATTTTTGAGCCTACCGCAGAAAGAAAGAGAGGCTCTCTGGAACAAATCCTGCGGGATTTTCCTGAACGCAAGTTCATCCTGGTCGGCGATAGTGGAGAGGCAGATCTCGAGGTCTATACTGATATTGTCCTGGCGAATCCTGGCAGAATTCTGGGCATCTTCATTCGTGATGTCACCACGTCAGACCGTAAGGACTTTTTTGATAAGTCTGTCGATCATCTAGAAGGCGTCCCTGCTCGAAGTCACAGTACTCCTCAACTTGTCGATGACTCGGATGCGATAGCAAAGCGGCCCGCGTTGCCACCTCGTCGGCCGCGTGAATCCCCAGGGCCATCTACAGATGCCGTTAGTATTGATAACGGCGACCTGATCGATCTACGGGACGAACAGGAGGAGAAAAGCTTATCGGCAGATACGCCCAAGCCCGCAAACTTCCGTATGCCGCCCATGAAGCCGAGCAAACCCTCCTCTCTTCGAGCTGCGACAACGAATTCGGAGTCGACAGAAAATGGGGCTTCTTCACAAATTGAGGATCTCATCCGGCGCAAGCCTGTCCCTCCAGTACCCCCTCGCCGTCAAATCGCAACAGATCAAGAGGAATCTTCGAGCTCCCCTAAAGCATCGGCGCAGAGTACAAGTTACGCTGGCGGCGTCCTGAATGCAGTCCAGTCGGTCACTAACTCCCTCCCAGCGGCGACAAAGCAGTTACCGTTCCGTCCCAAGACTTCTGACGGCAATGGCGCGGTCGATCAACCATCTGACGCGACAAAGTCGGCGCGTCCCAAGCAAGCCCCTCCGCCTCCACCACCGCGGCGTACAAATACGGGGATTTCGACTGTGACTTCGGATAGCCCCGTTAACCGGCCAGCATCGCAAAAAATACAGTCATACCCAGCTTCGGCCGCTGCTGCCGCGTATCAATTCGCGTCTGAACGTCTCAATTGGTCTGCGTCGCCAGCTACTTCACTGCGGTCGAGAGCTTCGATCCCATCGCTGAGTCGCTCCAGCACCAATCCTGTGAACAATCAATCAGACTCGTCATCTGTTCCCCCTCCTCCACTACCTAATAAGAGAGAGGAGCTGTGGCGACGGCGTTGGGAGCGGGCTAACGACCTCCTAGCGGAGCAGGGGGTTGTGTTGGGCAGTTGGCGTGTGGGAAATGATATGAAGGATGTCAGTGTGTTGTTGGTACAACAGGCTATGAAAGACATGCAGAATGACTCCAGAAAGGCATTCTGACCCAAAGGCATGAAGTTACTCTATATTCTTGGATCACGATGTACAAGTCTCCGATGTATATAACATACGTGATGTATACCCAGCACATGATAGATTATGGCGTGAACAGCGTTCTGACAGTGTACTTTAACCCGAGCGTGATAGAATAATCATCAAGCAGTTAGAAAAGACCGTTCTTTGTAAACGGACCATTTGATCACTGATCTCCGCGGTTCATGTCTGCCAATATGCCAAGAGGCTGGCCTTGTGTCCCAGACTTCCCAAAAGGGTAACATCCTCGGCTCACGGCTATCACAGGAAAATAACTAATCGTCCCCGCATGATTGGTAGTCTCTCGCATCCCCCAGTATCTATCTATAATATTCTTGCAAACCTTTCTCAAATCAGATCCTAGACTAGTATTGACGTGATATTCTCTGGTTGATCCTTACTTCTACACCTAGCGCCGACCATCTCAATCCTCCATAGACCCTACTCCCTCACCATGTCCAAGACCTTCACCCGCGCCGAGGTCGCGAAGCACAACACCGAGGACTCCCTCTGGTGCATCATCGACCACCGCGTCTATGACCTGACTGACTTCCTGGACGCCCACCCAGGCGGCAGCGTCGTCCTCGCCCAAGTCGCCGGCCAAGACGCGACAACAGACTTCTACAATCTCCACCGACAAGAGGTCATCGACAAGTACCGCGACCAGCTCTGCATCGGCACCATCGAGGGCGAGGCTCCCGAGGTCATCTCGCCCGAGCCGGGCAGTCTGAGCACCGTTCCCTATGCGGAGCCGCTCTGGCTGCGGCCGGAGTTCAAGAGTCCCTACTACAAGGAGAGTCATCGGCGGTTGCAGCGGGCGATGCGGGAGTTTACGGATCGGTATGTGACGCCTGAGGCGCAGGAGAAGGAGAGGGATGGGACGTATATTAGCCAGAAGTTGATTGATAAGATGGCCGAGGCGAATGTGTTGGCTATGCGGTTGGGGCCTGGGAAGCATTTGCATGGACGGAAGTTGTTGGGCGGTGTGGTGGATGGGAAGGAGTTTGATTATCTGCATGATATGATTGTTGCGCAGGAGATGGTTCGGAGTAACGCGAGAGGTGGGTAATTCTCCAAAGAGGTGCAGGGCGACGGGCTGACGTTTTGCAGGCTTCCAGGATGGAAACATGGCCGGGATGGTCATTTCGTTGACGGCTGTCCAGCAGTGGCTGCGCAATGCTCCTCTGCGCGAGAAGGTCACCGAGGAAGTTCTGTCGGGGCGCAAGAAGATGTGCTTGGCTATCACCGAGGCATTTGCTGGTAGTGATGTGGCCGGTCTCAAGACGACGGCGAAGAAGACACCAGATGGAAAGCACTACATTGTCAATGGCACCAAGTAGGGTTGTCCGCTGGATAAGACACCACTTTCCATGCTAACCAAACGATGTTTAGGAAATGGATCACCAACGGCATGTTTGCTGACTACTTTGTCACCGGCTGCCGGACCGAAAAGGGCTTCTCTGTGCTCCTGATTCCTCGCGGCGAAGGTGTCGAGACCAAGCAAATCAAGACCTCTTACTCCACCGCGGCTGCCACGGCATTCGTTCAATTCGAGAATGTCAAGGTCCCCGTCGAGAACCTGCTGGGCGAGGAACACAAGGGTTTTATCGTGATCATGAGCAATTTCAACCACGAGCGCTTCACCATGGTCTGCGCCGTCATTCGCATGTGCATGACCGTCACCGAAGAGTGCATGAAATGGTGCAACCAGCGCATCGTCTTCGGAAAGAAGCTCATCGAGCAGCCTGTCATGCGTCAAAAGTACGTTTCCTTCCACACTTGACAATCTTCCGAAATATATGTTGCTAACCGTTGTTGCTAGACTCGCTCGAATGATCTCTCTCTGCGAATCCAACCAGGCCTGGTTGGAATCCATCGCTTACCAGATGTGCAATATGACCTATGCTCAGCAAGCCGCTCACCTCGGCGGTCCTATCGGCCTCCTCAAGTCTCACTCTACCCGGTGCGCGCAGGAGATTGCGGACCACGCCACGAATATCTTTGGCGGTCGTGGAATAACCCAGAGCGGGATGGGCAAGGTTATCGAGATGTTCCACCGGACATACAAGTTCGATGCTATTCTCGGTGGCACGGAAGAGATCCTGGCTGATCTCGGCGTGAGACAGGCCATGAAGAAATTCCCCAAGGCGGTGCTGTAGATGTGCCCTACACCGTCTGGCCTTCTATCGTTCATTCTATGTGTAATTATACATCTTATTCTTGTTCTCGGATAGCGTTGCCTCTTTCTAGATACTGAGCTCCTATACCAGTCAAACTCGACCTGCAATCAACCAGATACTGCAGCGCTTCTTGTCTTTCTTTCTCCTGCTCCTTGACCTGAGACACAGGACCCATGCTTGCCAACAAGACGAGGAATCCAGCAACAAATCCACCATTATTTTGAAAAGTCATGGTAAAGTTTCCGTGAACCAATAGCCTTCAAATATAGCCAATGCGTGGGTCAGTTCGTATTGGACATTTCATGAGGGCCAGATGATCTAAAAGTATCTGAAAGTAGACTCTACTGAGGGATAAACCGCCGCTCGGAGCGACCGAGAAAGATGTGAGTCATATCAATATGACTCGTCTGTCGGGCGTGAGGCGTCCGTTTTGTATATACTTATTGCCAAAGTGCGAGTTGGTGATACTGCCTGATCAGGAAGGTCATTCAATTCCGGGGTGGGCCTGAGGCTTCGATCCCGAGATTTTGTGGAGCACTGGAGCAAAACGCTGCCACTCGGCAAGTAATTTCCGCCAGCTTGAGTAAAGAGCTTATGCTTAGCCGCAGGACTCTAATCAATGACTTACCTATTGAGACACCGTTGGCGTGTCTTGGCGACAGGCGAGGATATGCTTTGGAATCGAAAGAATGAGGTGTATTGCTTTTTGACTGTCCATGTGACATACTGACGTACCGCCGGAGTGTCGAGCTTCGAGGGCCCCTGCGGATGCAACTCTGGTGGGGTTGGGAATGGAATGTGATTCTTAAGCACCAAGGAGCACCCTTGATCTGTATGGGATATGCGCATTTCAATAGTATATTCTGCTTCCTACAGTGGACAAAATGGAACTGCTACAAGTCTCGGGTGCAGCATATTACGATTCCTTGCTTGGTCGTCGACCGCAAAACCCGCCCCATGATTTCACACGAGTTCTTTATATTCCTCGTCACAATTCAGCAACAGTGCACCTCCCTCTGTACGATGTCGCGGAGCAGTATCGCAATGCTGTCAAGGGATGCGTCCTCAACAGCAGCCAGTACACTGTTCAATTGAGTATGATGGAGAAGCCGCGAGACGATGGGATGAACTGCGAAGTGGCCTATCATGTCAACCTGGACAGAAGCGCGACAGACGACGCGCCTGCCCGATTGCAAGTGCAGCGGAGATCGTTGTTCGAGGATGGCGAGGCAATAGCGCATGCGTATGTATTCATCTAGGCTGTTTGCAATGACTCCACCGTTCGATGTAATGTTGACTGCTGAGATGAATAGGTTGACGCGTGGGCCGCCTCATGACAGATGTCTAATCGCTGTCGGCAGCAGTCAGAAAGGAACTGACGCGTGTTGCACACTCATGGAAGCCTCCTTCCCGATACAACCGAGTATTCGAGGAAAATATCGCATCCCCCATCCTTATTTCACGTTCCTGCTACCAGGGAAGAACAACAACAACAAGCGAATAGTCCAATGGCAGGTCCGTCCCAAGGAAGATAGTCTGCGTCGATACACATTAGTTGAAATCGGTGCGGCGTCAGAGGTGTCTGACGGCGCACTGTCGGAAGACAATGTGCGAGAGTCGAAAATTCTAGCAATCTACCATCATATCGGAATCAACGTGTGGTTACCAAAAGATTTTAGCGAAGGTGTGCTTCTTCTTCCAGACCAAGCAGGGTCGGAAGATAACGAGCGGGAGCTGTTGATAGTTGCAAGTCTATTGGCTTTGCTTTGGCAACTGCGGGAGCAAGCGCAAATGAAGCCGCAAAAATTGAAGGGTGGCCACTCTCGAAATTCCCAAAACATGTTCCAGAAAGCAATTTCTGTCCTTCATAGGCATTAGCCATCAAAAGAGCGTCCATTAATTCTTGGACGGTTGAGTGAAATCATACCATCCTTGTCATATAATCAGATAATCATGCTGCTGTGTCAATTCGGGCGAATGAGTCTGTAATCAGTCAGAGGTCTGTGGAATGGAAGGGAACTGAGAGTCAGTAGGTCGCTTACGAAGGTGGTCCAGGAGATGTTTTGATCATCGCCAGGGGCTTGCGCAGCCCTCGCAGCCCAGACCTTCTCCAACAATTCTCGAGGTACCGGATTGCGGAACTCGGACCTTCGCTCAATCTCATTCAAGCGCGCGATGACATAGTATTGGGAGTGAGGAGAAAGCGCATCCGACCCACCCATGAACAGGGGGAAAACAAGAAGCTCCAGGAGGCAACAGTCGGAGGGAATTCTCGCTGTAGCGTCTAAAATCCTCGCCACGCACTCCTGTATCTCATTGCTTCGGGGTTGCTGTAATGGGTCTAACAAACGAAGGATGCGTAGAATGCAAGCATACTGAAACGCCTCCGCTGTGGACATCCACCGAGGATCAGAGCTGGGGTATGTTCTAGCTGTCCTGTCGAACGAGTAGAGCTTGTGCTTTGCTGATTGCAAAGCAACTTGATACTCGTCCCACGATAACCAACCGAGATTGTATTCCTTTGCTTTTTCCAGGGCCGCTCCAATAACCAGGAATATCTCCCTGGGACATCCGTTGACTAGCTCGAACATTTCATCGGTGGCACTAGCGACGGTTTCGCGAATGTCCTGAGAGAAGCACAACCGTTCAGGACCAGCAAAGGCACGAATGATGTCAAGCCTGAACAGAATTTGATTAGTCAGGGAGCTGAGGTGCTAGATCAGCGCTGATTGCAAATACCAGGCCAAATTTCCCAGGAAGAAAACCGCTCGTCGTCGCCGACTATTCAACCCATCCGCCAATAGTAGCTGTTTGCACACTGACATTGCCCCGGTAATGTGTATACCATGGGTAGAGATACCCGTCTCAGCAATCTTTAAGCTTGGTCAGAAGACTTCTGAAGAGGCTAGCAACGCGCTTTTCACCATGACTTACATCGTGTAGAAGCAGAATCTGGATTATGGCGAGAACAGCATCTTGCTCGTCCTCATGCAGGAAATTAGGTCCCTGACTCTTCCTGATTTCCTCGCTGAGAGCACGTATGGCTCTCAGCCGATACTCAACTGCAGCCTCCTCGTATAGAGACATATTTCCTGTAAGTTTGCCAAGATGAGAGGCCGAGAGCCCAAGTATGGCATATAACAAGCCAATTTGTTTCCGCGCCAACGGGAGTATATAGGCTCGATAAGGATTACTGCTAGTACCACCTATCTCAGCAATTTGATGCGGGCATATGAAGCTTTCATCTGTACCACTCTGGCGTCAGTGTTTTTGCCCTCCAAAATCCAGCCAATAAGAGCTTACAATGCGATAATAACATCTCTGTCTGGGTGAGATTCAGTATCTTTGGGATATCGTCTGGCAATTCTGTTGCGCTTCTGCTAGGCTTCTTAGAAGACGGTTGCGTTGCGACGTCCTCTGTCCGTCCAGGCGTATCCGAGTCCGGTGTTGCGGTAGTAGAGATTTGCTGCGACTCAGCAACGGTAGATTTAGCTCTGGTGTTCCTTGGAGTCGGCACTCTTGCGCCTTTCCACCTTCCCCGACTAGCGATTCCGCAAAACCGGTACAGGTCGGGGTACCCGCCGCATTCTAAGCCTTTTGAGATGCAACGTTGACACTTAGGTCTACCGCGGTCACACTTGCGGCACTTTTCCCGGCATGTCTTGCATGCGGGGCCTGCAGCGGTACCTAACATCAGAAGTGGTTGGCTATGGTTGCACGGCATAAGATGAATAGATGGTGACAAACCAGCTCGTGGCATTCCGTAGGCGGCGGAGGCTCTTCAGAAGGTGCGACTCCTGACTCTCATTGAATAAGGCGAGGAGGTGTCAAGGAAAAGTAATCTGAAAAGGCGGTAGTGAGACGACAATTATACCGCCTATCATGTTCGATTGAAAGAGCTTTCTACAAACATAGAATGAGCAATCAAGGTGTTGGCATTTTATATATTTACCACCTTGTCCCAATTTCAGAGACTTGTTCAGGATCGACAATACAACCACGATGTTCGGCTGAAATCGATAGCTGCCACCAAGTTTCGACACTTATCTTCAAGCAGATATTCAAATGCTTGTAGGTCTTGAAGATTTCCAGCGACATATTCAGATCTTTGCGGTCAGTTCATGCTGCTCCGTAAGCACTTGGAGGACACATATCAAGCTAGGCAACATTGGGTAAGGCGTCAGGCTATGGTAGAGCTTCTTCTTATCATTTTGCACGTGAATGTGGGGTGTTTGCAATATTGGTCGAATTAGTTAGTACTTGTCAAGCTGTCAGCCTTGTCGTATCTTCGGTCCGTTTGTCGCTCCGGCCACTATTGACGCAGCGAGCTGATGCCTACATCAGTACTTCGCCACTACTAAATATACCAGTCCTACCTTTGTGTAAGACAAACATATTTTCCATTGATACTTTGATTCTCACAGCTGAGAAAATGACCGGAAGCATGAACACGCTCAACTCTGACAATGTATTAGCCCACGCTGCGAGCGCTCTTCGGAAAGACAATGAGGGTCAGCTTAGCCTCAAGACACCCTACGAGGCTATTGCGCTCATCGGTCATGCATGTATGAAGGCAGTCGACTTCAGGCTTCTCGGATTGGGAGAGGAGCACACTATAGGTCTGCGAGAGATTTATTTGTGGCATAACCTTCATTGTCGTATCATTGGACGCATATAGCTGACGTACTCGTTCGTAAGCAGAAAGCTCGACTGAAGACCAGACCTTACCCGCAGAGTGGAGTGCTAACGATACATATTCTTTTCGATATGCCCATTCACAATCCTCTATGCAGTTCTTGCTGAAGATCGGTCGGTTGGGGAATAATGCCGTTGTCCTTGCCTTGGCCCTAGGCGATGACAAAACCTCTTCATTTGATCTGCCAGTCAAGGACTACATTTCCGAGTCCGCCTTTCCTATTACATCCGCAGATGACCTGGCAAAGACCCTGAGGGATGTGTTCATTTCCGAAGCGCGGCTGAATGACTTGATTGGGCTGTTTAAAATGAACGTGATTCTGAAGCTAGCTCCTGGTTTGTACAAGGAAGGATACGAAGACACCACTCAAGCCCTACGAGAAAGGCAACAAGAAAGGCCACCTCGATATGATCCCTTAAGGGATGATACACTACCTCAGCCTGCACGTCCTTATCCATTTGATGATCCCCTGGCGGCAGGTCCTCGTCGACCGGCGCCCCCAGGCGATTTTGCTCCCCCAGGATTTGAAGACGAATATGAGATCTACAGACCTCCTCGAGGATATCCCCAGGGGAATGGTGGCCGTAATCCATTGAGTATTGGCGATAGAGATTTGTATCCTGCCGGTCTCGGTCCGAATGATCCTATTCGAGGAGGCGTCGGCCCTGGTCTTGGAGGGGGAGGTGGTGGCGGAATGCACCCAACATTTGACGACCCCTTGTTCGGTGGTCGCCGAGACGATGGTTATGATCCGCAAGCGCCCCCTGGATCTCGATATGATCCTGTAGGTCCGGGAGGTGCGCCATCCGGGCGAGGACGTGGTCCGTTTGGAGGAGGCTTTGGAGGATTTGGCGGTGACATCATTTAGGCGCGCGGCTAAGCAGTAGTTAAGCCATTTGTAGCTGACAAGAGCACACAATACGGGCTCGGGTAGTACTCCTGCTAGATTGACGACAGAATGCATAATGAAATTAATCTATAAACAGAGCATCTACAATTCGCGAGTAATCCAACTAACACACCATAGTATCAATGTAATCGCCCTTCTTGGCGTCAAGGAAGCCAAAACTCGGTCAGGAGTCGAGTTCCTGGGGATCGTGGAGAGAGGGTGTGGCTTGGACGAGCCAAAGTGTGGCGCATGCCGGCACCTCCTGGCGTCTGTCCAGCACAGCACGGCACAGCAAAGCAATCCCTCTTCTACACCAACACTAACCAGGTCGCTTTTCTCCCAACTTTCGTCTCTCATCTATCCCACTGCATCCGAATTTTTTCTCGCCCGTTGAAGTTTATATTGTTCTTATTCAATTATATCTCCTTTGTTTTGGGGATTCTTGCATCATCACAACCGAGAAAATCCCTGGTCAGCCTCACGAGACCGTCCCCTCCAGTCTCCCGCCCCTCCTCCACATTTGCAGTTGTCCTGAGCTTGTTGTCGCCCACCACAATGGAAAATAACATGGAAATTGATCCGGCGCGGTCACCGGAGCCTCATCACCTTTCGCCAACAACCGACCCTGGGTCTATACCTACGCTCGATGGGTGGATTGAAAACCTGATGGCTTGCAAGCAACTAGCGGAAGATGATGTTCGGAGACTCTGTGATCGAGTGCGTTTTTCCTGATACGTGTTGCCTCCGACATCATTATGGCAATGAAATCTAATCGAGGTTTGCGCGTTGCAGGCTAGAGAAGTGTTGCAGGAAGAGTCAAATGTGCAGCCAGTCGTATGTGCTTCCCTCGGCCTGTTCTTGCCGTGTCATTAATGCGGATCGCCCGAGATGTTGACTTGAATCTCTCAGAAATGCCCCGTGACTGTCTGTGGTGATATACATGGTCAATTCCACGACCTAATGGAACTTTTCCGCATTGGAGGTCCTAATCCTGACACAAACTACCTCTTCATGGGTATGTGATATTTCACCCTTGATTCATCCTTTTTGTCTCCTTGCTCCGTGACTCATAATAGACTTGCGTTTCCAGGTGACTACGTCGACCGTGGCTACTACTCTGTAGAGACTGTCACACTCCTTGTCTGCCTCAAAATCCGTTACCCCCAGCGAATCACCATCCTCCGAGGAAATCACGAGTCCCGCCAGATCACACAAGTGTATGGGTTTTATGACGAGTGCTTGCGCAAATACGGCAATGCCAATGTCTGGAAATACTTTACCGATCTTTTCGACTACCTTCCTCTCACCGCTCTCATCGAGAACCAGATCTTCTGCCTGCACGGCGGTCTGAGTCCCTCCATCGATACTCTGGACAACATTCGCTCTCTGGATCGGATCCAGGAAGTTCCTCATGAGGGACCCATGTGTGATCTGCTCTGGAGTGATCCCGACGACCGATGCGGCTGGGGTATCTCTCCCCGTGGTGCTGGTTACACCTTTGGGCAAGATATCTCGGAAGCATTTAATCACAACAACGGCTTGACTCTTGTTGCACGAGCACATCAATTGGTTATGGAGGGCTACAATTGGTCGCAGGATAGAAATGTGGTCACCATTTTTTCGGGTACGGCCCCTTTTTCCGCTCGTGTCTGTACCCACCACTAACGTGCCGTTCTCAGCCCCCAATTATTGTTACCGCTGTGGTAACCAGGCCGCAATCATGGAAATTGACGAGCATCTGAAATACACATTGTATGTTCCATTGAAAGCAAATGTCCGATCTTGGTTCATCTGTACTAACTGTTTCTCAAAGCTTACAATTCGATCCTTGCCCACGTGCGGGAGAACCGATGGTCTCGAGACGTACACCTGATTATTTCCTGTGATGTGGTTCCAATAGACAGACTTTTTTTCATCACTACTGACAAGTTGAGCTTCTTATGACCCTTCGAGAGGGCTACTGGGATGCTGGGAGCATACGAAAGGATCCACTTGTCACAATAATTGTATGTCCTTATTTCAGGCCGTGTTGATACCAATTATGAAAATAAAAGACGTTCGCAAGCCCTCTAGTGTCTGACCATTAATTCATGGCGCTCTATTTGCGATCAGTGTCGGGTAATAGGTATCTCAGAGGACCTCGTCTGCCATGTTTCACATAGCTCCTGGAGATTTCAAAAGCAAACCTGTAGGGTTTTAGCTGATCCGAATGGAAGGAACGAAATGATACTCACCTCCATCCACGTTGACGATTTGTCCGTTAACATAGGTCCCGGCCTTACTGCAGAGGTAAAGGACGACACTGCCAATATCGGATTCCCGTCCAACGCGGCCTATGCACTAAATATCAGCTCACTCGAGTCCGCAAAGCACAAGCACCGACTGCAATAAAGCAAGACTCACCGGCCGGAAATTTCTTCCCTAACTCTTCCTCCTGCCTAGACCTCCGATCCTCATCAAACCTGCCTATACTGATCTCATTCGGGAACACGCCCGGCGCAATACAATTCACACGAACCCCCAACGGCATAAAAGTATGCGCCCACTCCCTCGTCAGGTGTATCAGGGCCGCCTTGCTCGACGAATAGGCAAACTGGCCCTGAGAATGCGTCTTCGTCACCCCTGCCACACTCGCCACATTCAGCACCACGCTCGAATGGCCCGGTGCCGCTTTCGCCCCCTTCACAAGCAGCGGCAGCAGCGCGGCTGTGAGGAAATGGTGCGACCAGACGTTGCCGGCGTAGGCGATGCGCCATGCGTCCGCCCCGTCGCGGGTCATCCATCTCGAGACGGCGTCTGGGTCTGTGAAGTCGGTGTCGGAGGATGTGCCTTTCGCGCGGGGCTCGCTGGTGACGCCTGCGCTGTTGATGAGGATGTTGATCCCTTTTGATTCGGCTTTGGTGAGTTCCGCTGCGATGCCGCGGATTCCGTCTGTAGTGGAAGTATCTCCGGGGAGTCTGGGAGTCAGTATAACCTCGTCAGTAGGGACGGTGGAGGATGGGATGGCATGGGACAGGACGCACGGCGTGATCTGCCCGTTGAAGGAATATTTCTCCCCAATCGTGTCGAGGATCTCCTCCCTCGTACCGATGATGTAGACTCGAGCGCCGTTTGCTGCTAGTGTCTGAGCGGCCATGAGGCCAACGCCGTTGCCTGCTCCTGTGACGACGGCCACGTAGCCCCTGACCTCGAAGAGGGTGGCTGCTTCGAGGTCATGGACGTTGATGTCTTTGAAGTTGTATCGGGGGGCTGGATCCATCTCGCTACGGATTTAGGCACTGCAGATGAATAGATATCAGTATGCTAGGTACATTGAGAGGAACGGGGATGGGGTGACGCATTTGTAGGAATGATCGCATGTTGACATCTTTTTGAAGTCATCGCTTCGATGCGCTGCATCTTGCTGCTGCGTTCAAACAACGCAGCTGGCCATGTGTCATCGTAATGGAAGTTCGTTTCAATATACTACCTGTCGGGAGTTGCAAGCTTATACGATATTGAGATGTAGTTGGAGACGAGCGCAAGTTCACGCAACGTCCGATCCAGAAACCCTAAAAGCAATCCATCTAGCGTAGCAAGCGCCTCTGAAGGACATTTTCAGTTAATCCTCACTAGGGTTTTTTGGTAAAAAGAGAAAAGTAATTACGTCGGTTGCTAGGAAGAAGTAGCAGGTCCGAATACATAGCATTATCATTTCACGAAGCACGCGTTTGCGTAAAAGACTGCGAGTCAAGACTTTAGGTACAGGTAGAGAGCTAACGAGCGATTTGATATACACCTAAACTCGCAGTCCTTGCGCCTTCTTTGCCAGAATCTCTTCAACCTCTTTGGCATATTTGGAGAAGTTGTCCACCAGATCATCCCACATCTTGGGCTCGTGCTCGTGCCTCTTCTCGCTGTTCCAGGCATAGTCTGTAATTGTGAATGGGCGACTGGACTCGAACATGAACGCGATCGATGCCGGTGAAATCTGCATAACAGGTGGTTGGTTCTCCGTGGCAGCTTTGAATTGCTCGTACGCTACACCATGAGGGACCACTGACCACACAGTTAGCACCTTATGCAAGCAAACAAATATCGCGACGGCTACTCACTTCCACACTCAAACGAAATGCTCCCGGGGCTGAAGGCGTCCGAGCGGCCACCATATTCACCATAGATCAGGCCCATCAGTTCGGAGGCAGCATTGCGGTGATAGTAAGGTGGTCGGTAAGTGTCTAGATTTGTTAGCATGGCCACGGCATATTCTTTGTGGATAAGAACCACTTACGAGACGCTACATCCCAGCGGGGAGAGAAGATGAGGAAATCGGCCAAAGGCGCCGTGAGGTCGCGAGATTTGACTGTGAGTACACAGAAAATGGATGGATCGATATGATCTACGGAGATAGAGCCGACATTGATGAACTTTGTCAGGTCATACTTGTATGGGACCTATTGATATAGGGTTAGCTTCGCCTTGTATAGTAGACCATGAGGAATCAACATACGTAGTTACCATGCCAGGCAACAACATCAAAAGGACTGTGATTCTGCGTGCTCTTGAAGAATTTCCCTCCAAGCTTGTAAATAACCTCCCAGGGTTCCTGTGAAATCTCATACTTGGCATGGGGAGTAAGGAAATCTCGAGCGTTAGCCAAACCATTTGCTCCGAGCGGTCCCAGTTCGGGTAGCTCAAAGTAAGATCCCCAAACTTCGAGGATATACCCTCGAGAAGGGCCGTCAGGAAGCTCAACGCGGAAGCGAATACCACGCTGGATGACCACGATTTCTCCGGGCTGAACAAACAAGGGACCAAATTCGGTTTGAATGTCCAGGGCACCCTGCTGAGGAATGATGAGGAATTCACCATCAGAACTCACAAAGGCTTTTTTCTTCATGCTGGTATTGGCCGTATAGACATGGGTAGCGAGGCCCTCACGAAGGGTTGGGTCTCCTGATCCTGCTACAGTCTTGAGACCGGAGACAAAGTCTACCTCCTCCCCAGTCGGAATCTCAAATGGATGCCATGCTAACTGAGTTGGAGAGACACGCACTCGAGGATTTATCGGCAGGAAATTCGACTCTGTGTCTTTGTTGTCAGGAAGATCGGTCTGTAGCATCATCAGCCCGGGTCCAACGCTCCAAATGGCGTCAACGTACAAATCCCTGGTGGGCAACCGCCGGACGAGCACGGTACAACCATGCCTTCTTGTTGCAATGCCGTGGAGCGACAAAAGCAGTCGCGGTGATCTGCTCAGCATACAGGCCGAATCTCACATTACGAGGACTGTTCTGGCCCTGTGGAATGGTACCAGGAACAGCTTCGGAGACAAATCTATAGATATGTCTACATCAGCAGATTGGGTCGTGAATGTAGTTGCGCACTATACATACGAGTTGCCAAAGCCTGCTTGATACTGTAGGAGTCAGCTATCACGAAGACACGAACAAATATAATGAGAGCGTACCTGGTAGGGATCATTCCGTCTCGTGCTGAAAGAAGGAATGGTACCGTCCTTTTGAGTTTCTGCCCAATGGAATATCTTCTGATACTCCTCGGGATCAGATAGGGCGCCGGTAGAGGCCATGCTCGCAGTTCGGTAGTAAACGATCAAGTACTGAGTTCAGAGAAGCTCAATCTTCAATTGCTCCAATAGTGATCAATTTCGAGGGGAAACACGAAGCCTCAAATACCCTTTCCATCCTGAGGGGTCGACTAACGGCTGAATATAGAGTAAACCTTATGATTTGTCGGACACGTTCTCATCCGAATGTTCGAGCACGAAGGAATACGCGAGTGATCCTTTTGGTTTCTAATGGTGACGACGTCAGCCCGATTGAGGGCAGATCTGACTCAAAGTTCATACAAATCGGCATGTTGGAGAGGCCTTGCGTTGCCGAAGCCAAGTAGAGTGGAGCTTCAATCAATCAATCAAGGACGGAGCGATGTCCGTCATCATTCTGCTTTGATCGCATGGTTTGCCAAACCCCACATGAGTAAGCTGTGAGTAACGTGGAGAGATGATCCTTTTGTCAAGAACAGTTGTTCATAGTCGGGATTGAGTTGGTGTGGGAATTGCCGAGGAAGGAGGATTCCGAGGGGGAAGAGAAGGTCAGCCGACAACGCTCAGTCTATAACAGATCATCTGCGGTTTTGCATACAAGAATGGCTGTGCGCAGTTGGATTTACCCCAACCTTAGTCTCTACTTGGTCTATCTACTTCTCGACCTTCTTATGGAGCATGATCCTTGCAGATCTCGAACTTCTTGAATTTAGGCTGTGTGCCTTACCTCAAGGACCCGTATCAATTCAGCAGGCTGATTCTGCCTGCTGTTAACGCAAAAACTATTGGGAGGTAAGCTGCGATGCCAGCCTCTCGCAGCACCTTGAGGTGCTCTACTCTTCGCCGAGACGCAAACTGCGCCTCGGTAATCTCCATACTCTCTCCCAAGGGCCCATAGGCAAATCGTCGGTCTTCAGACCATGGGGACATGCCATTGACGAACCGTATCCAACGCTTCCGCATCTCTTGGCCCACTTCATTTGCAGCGGGGTTGAAAGAGAGATCCAGTCCTCCAAAAAGAAACAAGAGGTCGACTGCGTGGTGAGACCGGCTGGAAGACTGCCATGGGTTTGGTTGGTCAACCACGTATCTGAAAACATGTTTGTTCGCAGCTTTGAGCTTGTCGGCGACCAGCTCAACAGGGAGGGTGTATCGGGCGTCGTTGACGAAATCTAGAGCGCCCAGTTTGCAGGCAGTAGGACGGTCATGGACGACCTGGTACATCTTGCGCAGTTTTATGCCATAGTTCTTGTCGGTCTCGAAAGCCGCAGCAATTGATGCTCCGTCGAAGGTCTCGATTCCGTTTCTCCAAATGACAGACTATAGAAGTCAGACTAGGCGAGGGACAGTGTAATAGGAGAAGGATAGAGAACATACCTCATATTCAGTATCACCAATCATGAGTTCCTCGACTTGTTCGGGCTTGTTCTCCCAATCCTGGAATTCGGAATCCTCCTGTATCCACATCGTATTCACATTGCACTCCTGCAATGCGCGAATTAGACACTCAACAGACGAATGACGAAGCGACTTCTGTCCCAACTCCTGCACCTTGCTTTCGAGTGTGTTGATGAGCGCGCTTCCTCTTTCGGCCGGCAACGGCGAAGAGAGGTATAGCGACCCGGATGCCAGAACAGCTCTTTGGACAGGAGGGCCGGTAATCAGATGCGCATGGACATAAACCGCTCCTGCGCTCTCTCCAGCAAGGGTGATATTATGCTGGAGTGAGAAAAGACGTTAGCATCAGGTGTTCTTAAGCAGCGTTGGATCACCCACTGGATCACCCCCAAATTCCACGATGTTCTTCCGAACCCAGTCAATGGCCAAACTTTGGTCTTTTATCGCGAGGTTCTTCTCCTTTCCGTCGCCAAAACTAAAGATATTGAGACGGTAGTTGAAAGAGACGAAAAGAAACGGCTGGCCCTCCTTGATAGACTCAGCAACGATCCGGGTCGGGTCTATGCGTACTCAGGAATCAGCATGGAAAAAACGTAGCAATTCACATGTCTTACCGCAGATTTTCGACTGAGCAGAACAGAATGTAACAACTTGAGAACCGCCTAAGGCACTGCTGTTAGCACAGCCAATGCTTTGGCTTGGTATCCTTGCAAATCTGCCATCGTACCATATATCCAGACGAGAACAGGAAGAGGGCCATTAGTGGCAGATAGAGGAGGACGGGTAATGTCCAGATTTAGGCATTCAAACTCATCCTCAGCTTCGGGCTCGATCTCGAAATCCTCGGGGATGCGCAACAAATGGCGCACGTCTACATGAACCTGCGGACATTTTGGCCTGTTTGAACATCAGATTTAATATACGAATCATATGCCAATGGAGAATGAAAATAGCTTCCCCGAACTCAGACACAAGACATACCCATATTTCGTAGCATCAACGACGCCCCCGTTGAAGCTTTCCACAGGCTGAGCACGCTCGAACCGCGCCGGTATTTTGGCATACTTGATTCCGCGAAATTGGTCAACTACGACATCGTCGAAATCCCTTCGGACACCTGTAAAGAGTGCCTGAAGCCCTTGATGTTGTACTTGTGGAGCTGCCATAGTCACAATCGCAGAGTCAGTCTGGTAGTCAGGGACGAGGGGGAAGCGGGGAAACAGAATATGGAGCAGGTAATGTTTTCGAGGTGTCTGCACTACCTGCACCCCTTTCTCTTCATGAATTGCTCTTCATTCAGTCGGCTATTATGCTTTCCGAAGCTTATACCCCCAATGCTGACGAGCATGCTTGCGGTGGGGCTGCTGCGGGGATATCCACCTGGTGTGAAATGTTGTAGTTCGGATGATGAAGACGGAATATCGGCAAGTCGAAAACCAAAGAAATTTGGTTTTCAGGATATGATAGTAGAAACAGAATTGCCTTGGAATCCATAGCGCATGTGGAAGCTGTTGGTTGCTGGGGTGAATTGGTGAAGAGTTCTTAGTTCCCAATGACCACCTTACTGACTACTGATCTTCTGATGGTAAGTACCTGTCAACGGACTGTTTCTTCTCTATGATGTGAGATTTTCCTAATTCTGGATTATATTATATATACATTTTTAAATTGCTCGAGCGTGTGGTCCGCGTTCTGTACAGCCTATCCAGCTGCTTCAGCAGACTGACTCTCAGCATGCCGTTCCGTAGGTTTCCATATAGGGCCTCCCAGAAAAAGCAATATAGGAATAGCAGACACGCCCATCAGCAGGCCTATGACCCAGGACATCGTGCTCCAGCCAGCGCTTTCTCGGATGAACCCAGCCAGGAATGGACCGACCATGGACCCAGCTGCAAAAGCGGAATTGAGGATACCGTACGCAAGTGCCATTGCGCCTCCTTTGCCGAAGACTCCGGGTGACTCTGCTTCTTTCTCCTGAACAACGTACGATGCCTCAACAAAGAGCGGAGGAATCAGGAAGGCTAGGCAGAGCCCTATCAGAGCTAACAGCACACAAAGCACCACTTTTTGGTTCATAGAATTCGTTGTGACAAGTCGGAGAAGCACGAACAATGGGACTGTGATGAGCAATGCTCCACCAACTACAAAGCGCCTAGCTTGGGGAAACCTGTCGTTGATGTACCCGAAGAACGGATCCAGAAGATGAGGCACCGACACTGGAATGAAGATGAGTCCTTGGGCTGTCTGTTTCCAACCGAATGTATCCTGAACGAAAAGAGGAAGGACGCTATCGAGAGATGTCAACGCAACAGCCACAATAAAATAAGCCCATAGCGTGACAAGCATTCGGTCTGAGGCCAACAGAGTGGTAACAGCGCCGAAACGTCTCTTGCGAGGCATCTGTTGGTTTGCATCCCCAATTGTGTCGCCTCGCGGTGTCGAGCTCGATGCTGCATCATGCTCGTTGCGACCGTTACTGTCACGCTCATCCGTCATGCAAGGAAGAGGTACACGCCCATCCGTAGGTTGCTTTTGCGTTGGATTGTCAACTGGTTCTGTGAAAAACTTCCCAGTATGAAGCCACTTCAGGGCATCTTTCTTCTCAATCAAGATGAGTCGTAGGAATATGTCGAAGCCAATTATACCGAATGCAAGACCGAAGACAGCGTAGTAGCCTCCCTTCTCATATAAAACACCCCCAAGGAGGGGGCCTGTCATTGTCCCGAGTGTGATGCCCATTGCCGCATATCCCATCGCCTCCCCCAGGGCCTCTTTTTCTATCGTGTCGACTAGCAGGGCTAGTCCGACTGTCCAAACAACAGCCGCAGATACTCCTTGGAACAAACGTCCGGCAATCCAGAGGCCGAGAGTAGTGCCTACACAGAGCAACGCTGTAGAAGCACCCAAGGCGACCAGCCCTATCAGGAGAGGCCAGCGCCTAGACTCTATCCGATCTGCTAAGTAGCCGGAAATAGCTGAATTGAAGGAGAACGGTGAGTAGAATTGTCACGATGTAGTCCGGTGGCCAAGGATGGTCAAACTCACGGGAAGCTGCCAAAAGTGCGGCGCCGTACAATGCTAATAAGATCGAGGTCCATGATTGCTCTGATAGTGAAAGGTCAGAGCCAAAATCACAGAGACCAAATGTCAATACATCTCAAGAGAAGGGCACATACCATCGTCCTCTGATAAACCGACTCTCTCATGCAATGCAGTAGGGGTCACAGGAACAATCTATAACACGTTGAGCTCTTGCACATAAATCATTACACGGTAGAGGCGATACTTAAGGTAGAACAGTTAACTTACAAGCCCATATAGCAGGATATCCTGACATAACTGGTTTTAGCATGTTTTCTTTCGGGGACACCATCCCTTGTTGCCAACTTACAGTGAATGTCGCGAAAGCCACCACAAATATGACGAAGACTTTGGAAGACCTTAGCTCGAGGAGAATCGGTCGCTTAGGCTCCTTCTCATGTTTTGATAGCAGGCCGCCTAAGACCATAGCGAATATGGGTCTCAGATTAAGCTATACCGCTGAGATGTCATGCGGGTACTCAAGTAATAGAGGTCACGAAAAGTTGAGGACACAGAATCTTAGAGCTATCGAACCATCCATTAAGACATACGCAAGAGGCACATAATGAAGAATTTGAGAAGAGATAATAGTTTGGAGAGGATTTGAGGATTAAAAGTCTAGGCGATGATTCAATTCCTTCTGCCTCGGGGCCCGCGGGACCCGAGCCTGAACGGAATCAGCCCGCAGTATCAAGGGATTCAGATCGTGGCGGATCTATTAACCACAGAACATAATATTGGGCTATCTGCCGGTACGCGGTGCCAGTATCTACATATAATTGACTTGAAACACACACAATGTGCCTAAGTCAAAACGCAACTAAAAGCCAGCAGTGCAATGGACTTATCTCTTCACGGCTATGTACATCACAGTGTAAATGCCATGACGTTGGGCTAGAGGGTTCTAAACAACGCAAGTACCTGTGCAAACTCATCTAGCGACGCTTGGTCAGCGTGGTCGAAGAGAACGCTTCTTCGCAAGCTTCCCTCATTGTACGGCCCGTTCACTTGCCCTACATTGGGTGCAGGACCGTAGACTCGTGCCGTGAAGCCAGCTTCTACATCATTATGGGCAACGGAAGGCCATGGCTTCACACCATGACAGAATTTGAAGAAGTCTTCGGCGAAGTTAATTGCAAGTTGCTGCTGGTCTGGCCCCATAAACTCTCGGAAGTTCTGGAACAGGTAGGCCAAGTCAAGGATATGACTCGCTCGATCTTTCCAAGGCCCGTCCCATGGATTCCCTTCGTTGAAGTGATAGACGTATACATTGTTTTTCCAGCCCTTTGCAAATGTCAGGACGGGAGCAAAGAAAGCAATGTCATTTACGTAGTTGAGAATAGCTGGGAAGGCCTCGTCGTCTGTCATGTCCCTTGTGATGTTGTACTTGTCCAAGATCTGTTGCGCAACATCTAATTTGGATGAAAGTATGGTGTAGATCGCGGTAATGAACTTGCTTGCACAGTCTTTCTTCGTATGAGACATCAAAAACGCCATGATACTAGCCTGGGAAGAGAGAGAGTCGCGGTCAGTAGACGATTTGACAGCGTTTCATGACAGCTTACATCCATCTGAGCGTCGCCAATCATTAGATCTTCGCACCACTTCTTTCCGCGGGGAATGTCAGAGCCTTTGTCGGCCACTTGCGCATAGGTGACGACCGAGGTCACCATGGCCCTATCAATCGCAGGAGCTGCTAGAAAGGTTGGGGGTATTTTGGCGACTAAGTCATCACCCGGTGTTTCCAAAAGAGCTCTGATTCTTTCCTCTGAACTAGCATTGGCCAGTCCCAACGCTGCAATGGCTTGCTGGTAGTTCTGCTCATGTAAATCGTAAGGCAAGGGTTGGATGAGTAGACAGGTACCACTCATCACAATAGCCCGCTTAAAGAGTTGCTCGTCAGAGTCGAGGTGGTACGTTACACACGCTAGCAAAGTTCAGTATGCCTGTAACGTAGTGAAAATCAATGATGAGCCAGACATACCTCCTCCAGCGCTCATCCCCGCGAGTGTCACATTATCAGGATCTCCACCAAAATCCGCAATGTGTTTCTGCACCCATCTCATGGCCACTTTCTGATCTCTGAGCCCATTGTTGGCGTTGTACCCTGCCCGTCGAAGTTCATTAGAAGTAAGGAAGCCGAATGCACCGAGACGATAACTTTTTCGAGTGAGTCCTTGCCCATGTCGTGTCAGGGTAGTGGCCTTACTTCATAGAAACCGCCACTATTGGTAAGTTCTTTTCAACAGATAACTTGACAAAGCGTGCATAATCGAATTGTGGCCAGGAGTTGGCTCCAAGCACCAGCCCTCCGCCGTGAATGAAGAGAAACACAGGAAGCTTGGAGGTTGCTGTTGTGCCCGCTGGGACGGTAATATTCAGATTGAGACAATTCAAGTCCGATTGAGGAAGCTCTTTCTTTGGGAGGATATGTTGAATGTGGCCAAGCTCAAAGTCACACCCAAATGAAGGAGACAAAGCAGTTGGACTAGGATTCCTTGCATTAGTTCACTGACTTGGGGTATATTTCCTGACCACTCTTACCCGTCCTTGCTCGCGTCCAAGATACTGCCTTCACGCTGCTCGATGAGTTCCGCGTCTGCGAATCTGTCTTTGAGAGTAGCGTATTGAATACCCAGAAACTGACTCACACCGTCATGAGTCTCGGCTCGAACTTCACCCAGCAATCTTGTCTGAAGTATGGTTGCCATCGTACTGAATCCCGCTGAGTGCAAGTAGTAAACACATCAGATTGCGGGGAAATGTAGGAAAGAGGTCAACAGCATCCAGAGTATACTTCAAGGCTTTTGAACAGTCTCCCTGTAGGACGATTCAAGGAGTCAATTAACCTCCCGATTGGCAGCTCTCCATATTTCGGTAATAAAATCACCCAGTAATATGCCGGATTTAACTCCATGAGCTTTGACTTTAAGTTGTCAACAAAGCTGAGGGGTAATTCCGAATCATAGGGATTCTCCAACCACTTCGTTCCTCGTTTCGTGGGCGAGTTGTATCGGCTCCATATGCGGTAGAGACGAGAATGGGTTCACTAATGGCTCCGCTCAAGCGAAGAGTTGTGTGAGAAATCCTCAGAGACATCCTCGAAGCCGAGCCAAAGCCGCATCAAATTGACTCGAAAGACACAGAGACAGAACCCTTGTCGGATATCCTCCGTCACCAGGGCCATTGCCCCGCAATTCCCCCACATGAAACTGCCGAGGGAGCCATAGAACGAAGAGATAAAGTTTCTGTATTGTTAAGGAATTTGATTGGAAGATGTGCAAAGTACTGAGCGAATTCCATTCAGTGCTAGGTGTACAGTCAGAGAGCCAGAATTGTTGTGATGCAGACCATCATCCGTGACGTGGTGGCCTCTATTACTCTGCTAACCAGCTGAGGTAACGATCCTTATCCTACGAAGACAGTGTGTATACGAGGAGAAAGGGAATATAGGCTCTTCCCAGTCGCGCTTCCGCACTATATAGCGATTCTACATGCACAAGGAGGCAATAAGGAAGCGGCTTTCAGAGATTGGGAAGTTTGGCCTCTTCATTCTATCATGATTGAAAATTCATGCTGTAGCCACCAGTCTTAGGATCTTGGACGAACTTGAAATTATCCGTTGACAACCCAAATGGTTTGAGGATGCCGTTTCCGAGCTGCAGTGAAGAGTTAGCAGTGCTTCATCAGAGTCAGTATGGAAGAGTTGTCGACTCACATCCTTCAGTTTACTCATCATCTCCGCCGTCTCCTTCTCCCGTGCCTGGTTTATCCTCGCGGGCAATTCGCGAAGAGCCCTCTGCACAACCCGCTTATCGTCTGCAGGTAGGTTTTCCATCCCAGCAAGCACTTTGTAGTCCTCTTCGGCTCCTTGTAAATTTCCCCAGCCGCCGAGCTGGCTCTTCGCTCGCGCACGTCTCATAAGCGCCTTTGCCCGAATACGCATCACGTCGTTCTTTTTCTCGTCCATTTTCTGTAACCGTTTGAGCTCCTCCTTTTCTGCCTCTTCGTTTTCACCGGAAATCTCGATCACCGCGTCTGTCTGTTCTGACGATTGAGAGTTTTGTTTCGGTTGGTCTTTATCCTGATTCTGCTGAGGAGACAGCGGAATGATGTTTTCGAGACGATCAAGACAGGTAGTTGCAGAGTCGACAGCTGCCTTCCAGTCTTCCAGCTTCAGGTAGCATGCGGCCATGTTGCTTCGAAGAACGGCAACTTCATAGTCGAGGTAATTGGGACACGAGGCAAGGGCACGGTCATAGCAGGAAATAGCCTGATCATAGCAGCCAGCCGTAAACAGTTTGTTCGCTTCTGTTTTGATTTCGTGAGATTCTTTCAAGAGGCGCTGTTAGGATGGTCGATATGAGCGTCAGCAACTATTTCTTAGGAAAGCAGCAATCAGCAACTCACAGCTTCTTCCTCTGCGGGGAACCGTGCATCATGAAAGACATCCTCGCTTTCGCTATCGGACCCAGGGTCGGATTTGTGTGGATTCTTATCCGAATTTTCTGTAGTCATGTTGCAGAGTGAAAGTGAAGGCTACTGAGAACGCCGCTTCGGAGCTTGGAAGCTTGAGTGGATAGTTATCAATAATCGGGAAGCCGGACAACCGGACTCGATGATCCCTGACCATTCCCCTCGATGGTAAAGCGGCACGAAAGAAATTCCCGACTGGGTTAAACTTACATCCAAGCCGATTAACACCAGTGTGGAGTAGCCTTATCTGAGTGTCTTTAAACTACAATTGAAGATCTGATCCTCCTGTCACTCTGCACTATTCGTTTCGTCTGCGAAACAATTACTTCACTATGACCAAAAGCACGACCGAGTAAGTTCTCAGGTCCAGATTCACTCATTTCCATGCTCATGGATATTTCACCCCGCTGACTGCCCCTCTCTGACAGATTCCCCCGCGTGCGGGCATGCCTCTTTGATATGGATGGATTGCTCATCGACTCAGAGGACAAATACACAGAGATCACGAACGCAATCCTCCAGGAATTCGGAAAGCCGCTACTTCCTTGGGAAATCAAGGCTCAATTGCAGGGTCGACCACAGCCTGAGGTGAGTCCTCCCCCGCATCTTCAGTCCACTCAGTTCTTGAGACTCGAATGTCTTGTTCCAACACTATTACGTTCTGTCCTAATATTCTACCGTATAGGCAAGCAAGATCTTCCACCACTGGGCTCAACTCCCCATCAGCCCCGAGGAATACGGCGCGAAGCAGGCCGCCCTGCAAGCCAAGTACTTCCCCCAGTCGCAGCCACTACCGGGCGTCAGAACTCTCCTGTCCAAGCTTGTCTCGACCCAGAAGACGGACCAACCGGTCTACATAGCCCTGGCGACATCATCGCATAGCAAGAATTTCAAACTGAAGACCGACCATCTACAGGATCTGTTCTCTGCATTTCCCGAGTCACAGCGCGTACTAGGTGACGATCCTCGAATTGGTAAGGGAAGAGGAAAGCCGCTACCGGATATCTATCTGCTCGCTCTTGAGACGATCAATGAGGGCTTGCGGCAGCGAGGAGAACCTGAGATCAGGCCCGAAGAGTGTCTTGTCTTTGAAGATGCAGTTCCTGGTGTCGAGGCGGGACGCCGAGCTGGAATGCGGGTAATTTGGTGTCCTCACCCGGGTCTACTAGGGGCTTACAAGGGCCGAGAAGCGGAGGTACTGGCTGGGGTGACGGGTGAACATAAGGAAGAGGAGAAGTCCGTCCCGGAGAGGGAGGCAGAGGAGTTGGCGGCGTGGAGAATTCAAGGCGCCGGTAAACCCGGCGAGATTGACGATGGATGGGGAGAGTTGGTGTCGACTTTGGAAGGCTTTCCTTACGAGAAGTACGGTATTCGTCCTGCGTAGCCTTGTGTATTTCCTCTAGTTACAGTTGTCTTTTCTGTTCCATTCTCATATTGTACATGAAGCGATGTGAATATGTCAATAGCAAACCAGCCTATCAGCAGCGATAGATCAATCAAAGGATCAGTGCAATGATGGCATAATCCAGTTCAAAGCAATGCATAGCAAAGCCGGTGCACCAAGCCAGAAAGAGATTTTATGCTAGAAATAACAGGAAAGGGCGAGTAAACAAACGTGCCATCTATTAATGTACAAAGTGTTTGAAGGCTGCGTGTCGAAACAAACAGCTAGAATCCATAGCGTACTAAGTACGTGATGAGAAACAAAGGGATTCGAACGATCAAACGCAGGTGGAAATGGATGGATATCTTCACCAACGCCAGCAGAGGATATCAGAATGCAGCCATGACAGTGCAGTAACAGTAGGTAACGAGCAAACAGAGGCAACCCAAGCGCCAAATGCCACAAATGATTGAATGTCAGCACGCTTGTTTTTCAGAGGGATCAAGTCAGCGGAATGAGATTCTGGTGTATTGCACAAGAGCATTCGCCTTCGAACAAGGGTATCACATCCTAAGCTGCGAATAGAATTTGCTGATGAAAACACGATGAGCCAGACACCAATGAGAGATGCATTGCACCGAAGCAGCCAGTAGATGCGAGAAACAAGGCTCATGAAAGACCATAAAGTGATACTAAAGTGATCGCAAGCCCCACGCGCCTCGCCAATTCGATGAGAAGCATTGTGATGCCAATTCAATAGACGATGAACGTGACTTGAGTAAAGTCGAATGCATTGAAGAAGCAAGAATGACTGGATGCTGAATCATTCTTTGCTCTAACGACGTCTCTTGGTAGGAGGGCCGTTCTCATCGGCTCCAGTTTCTGCTGATCCTCGCTTGCGGCCGCGCGTTTGGTTGTTTGGCGGCAAACCAGGGTTCAATCCCATGCTCCTCGAAACGATAGGATTCGGGCCAACCATTGAAGTGGGATTCAAAGTCGGCTGATAAAAAGTTGACATTTGAGGGGGCAGTTGAGGCGGCGGCGGCATCTCGCAACTCATGTTTGCTGCCCACAGGGAAGGATCCATTGATGACGTGTGAGAACTCGAAGCGTCAGAAGTCGGACCAGCGGCTGCACTGAAATCAGGAGATATGCCGTGCTGTTCATATTCGGAGTGTGATCCATAGGCATGAAGAGCGGCGTCCAGCGTCAGATCCATGGGGACCATGTCCATGTTCATGCTCGGGTGAAGTCCACTGGTGTTTGTAGGAGGTAATTGTCCGGTATTGATCGTGCGTTGGATTTGGCCGGTACTGGACACGCCGGTGTCAATATTGTTGTATCCGGTATAGGTCATGCCTTGGATGTGTCCGGTATTGGTCACACCTTGGTACTGTCCTGTATAGGTCATGCCTTGGACGTGTCTGTCATTGTTCATGCCTTGGTTGTGTCCGGCATTGGTCACACCTTGGTACTGTCCTGTATAGATCATGCCTGGGACGTGTCTGTTATTGTTCATGCCTTGGTTGTGTCCGGCATTGCTCATAACTCGGTTGTACCCGGTATTGTTCTGGCCTTGCATGGAATAACCCTGTGGGTACTGTCCGTTGTGGCCGTAGTTTGACTGCCCGTTGTGCACGTAGCTTGACTGTCCGTTGTGGCCGTAGTTTGACTGCCCGTTCTGCGCGTAGCTTGACTGTCCGTTGTGGCCGTAGCTTGGCTGCCCGCGTGCCGCCGAAGCATACGAGGGGCCACGCTGACCTGAAGTGTCTTGATCCTGGACAGCGACAGTTTCCTGAGAGTCATTTCCGGCCTTCTCGGCGTCCTCGACCTCATGGGCTTCGTCAGCAGAACCTCCGCCGACTGGCGGTTCTGCCTCAGCCTCCGCCTCAGCCTTTGCTTTCGCCTTTCCCTTCGCCTTGCCCTTCGCCTTTCCCGTCGCCTTTTTTTTCCCATCCGCCTCTGTCTTCGCCGCTGCCTCGACGGCCCTTCCGGTCTTGATTTGCCCTCCCTTGTTTTCGTTGACAATAATGTTCGCGCGGCAGCGGACCAGACAATCCAGCGGGGTGTCCACGAAGTCGTGGACGTATTTGGCATGGTAGTCTAACATCCGCTTACACGTCGACTTGTTCACATGAAAGATCCGGACAATGGCCGCAACCCTGTCCGGGAAGGAAAGTAGCGCCCCGGTTTTGGCGGGATCTTTCACTTTCGTCTTCTCTCCTTCATCCTCTTCGTCGTCCTCCTCCTCCTCCTTCTCCTCTTTATCCTTGCGCCCTTTATTGCCTCCCTTCTTTCCCTCCTTGGGAGGTGGCAACGGCATTGTGCGGTGATACTCAATCAAAAGTTCCTACTCAAGTATCAGTAAAGTGTCGAAAGACATGTTGCCATTGAGACTTACCAACACATTCCAACAAGCGGCCTCGATTTCCACAGGTTTTCTTCGCATAGTGTTCTTCCACACAAGTGTGGTTTTAGGTTTGTCGTCCACACTATCGAGGTTCATCATTGCCCGTAAAAAAGAGTTTACAATCGTCAACTTTTGCGCGTCCGAGACTACCAAATGCGGGTCGCGACCAGGTCCTTTGGGAGGATTGAGCGCACTCATCGCCTCTTCCAAGGACGCGAAACTGGTTTGCACTCCAGCGGTTTGTATTTCCGGTCTGCTCCACTCGGGGTTCATAAGATCATGAGAGGTCGGTAATCCGGGTATTGCATCGATTGGCGGAAATAGTTGGTCCACAACTGTCGGTTTCTTACGTCTATCAGCAGCTGAATCAGACGGGGCTTGCTCCGAGAAGGCCGGAGGTGCCTCGCTGCTATGATAGTCATTGGAAGCGGCCGCGGAGACCACGGATGCATGTGGGCTTTGAGGTGCCTTGCCTTGGGCAGGTCTCTCGGAGTTAACTGGTCGGGGCTGAATTTGCTGTTGCTCATTTGAGATATCCCGCGCAGGATGTTCTTGGCTTTGATCAACACGATTGGGAGCCGCAGCGGAGCTCGAAGATCGGTGTTGCGATTGTTGCACGGTTGGGGGCCGGTGTGCCTGATTGTTCGTAGGACGATTGAGAGCAGCCAAACCATTCGAGTCTTGTTGGGACTGGTCTTGCATGGAAGTAGAAACGCCCTGACTGCTAGAGGGATACGCCAGCTGTGCCTCCTGGCTGTCAGCAGGGGTTCCGTATGCCTTTTCGGCATTGTGAGCCGGATGAGAGGTCATGTTGGCAGACTCAGAATTGGAAACATTGTTCTGAATCGACGCGGTAAGTGCAGGGTCAATGAGGTCCTCAATATTTGCGGATGGAGGAGTGCTGTCACCCGAATTATTTTGGGACGAGGACTGTGCTTCGGAACTTTCATCTCTCTCTCCGGATAAGTCTGAATGAATTGGCTCGCTCCTAGCATTGTCGATAAAGGTCATTAGAAGTCCAACGTGGTGGGAAGGATTGACGAGAACGAGGACATACCAGCTTTGGCCTTGGTTGCCATTTCTTCTTCTACCTCCGTCCGATTGTTTGGCAAAGGTAGGAGTAGGTTTCTTTGCAGGTTCTTCGACAGCTTGAACGTAGGCTTGAGCGACGGGAGTGCGAGCATCGAGACTTTCGGACGTGTGGCTTCCGATCATCTCCACGCCGTGATGAGCATCATATGTGCCACCAGTGCAAGCAGGGTCTGTGTCCTCGTGGGTTTCGATATTGGAACTGCCAACACCGATGGACTCAACTGAGACATCGTGGTGTCGAGCAGAGGGGTTGCCATAACTGGGCATGTCATCCTTCTGTTCGTGGTCGTGAGCATTGAAGCCGCCAACGCCATGATGCGCAGTTCCTTGTTCAATGTGTTGGACTCTGGGTGTGTTGTTGTGATGCTGGACAGGGGATACCTCAAGAACAGAATTGATACTAGGAGGAATGGGAGACAGAGTGGTATTTTCCCAGAAATCAGCATTGAGCTGACCCTTGTTGCGAGTCTCAACTGCCCTTTCGAAGATCCCAGCGTACTGAGCCTCATCGCCGTGGTCATCAGCTTGACGTTGGATGTTTCCATAGCCACGGGCATTGTAAGTCGGGATGAGGTTGCGGCGTTCGAACGAGACATTTGCTCCTTGCTCATGAGAACTTCTGTATGTTTTATCGAATGTCTCCCAGTCAAAGCTGTCAGGGACATGAGTGGGCACTTTGTCAAATGATATGTCATCTGGATCGAAGAAAGCATTGTCAAAGTGGGATCCTTGCTCCTGCTCACCCTGCAGGGCAGTTTCAGCGTGCTGATGAGAGACCGGCCTAGTTTGACCGGAGTTAGAGGATATTAAGAATAGACGACTGGCCAAAGACTTACGCGAGACCTTCCATAGCCGTAGGAGAGCCTGGCAGAGAGAGCATAGTACTCTGCATCTCGGTATAATGACCCATAGCCTCAGCAGGAGTACCAGGAAACTGAGGCGACATCCTCGCGACGATTTACTTGACAGTCACAGCAACTCTCAGAAGCTCGCTTGAAATTGCAAGATAGACAGTTTTTGAAGCTGTATGAGTGCAAGATAATGATTGGAAGACACTGAGTCAGGATAAAAGGATACGATTGGCAGGTGTGAGGGAGTATGAGAGAAGAGAGATGGTTGGTAGAGTGGAAGAGAGATGTGTAGAAGTGAAAGTTGTATTTAACGACATGGGACTCGAAGGTAGAGGGAGGGAGGTTGGGCCAGCAAGCATGAGGTGAATAACAGAGCATCAAAAACCTGAAAGTAGACGGGAGATACCGTTAACAAAGCGGAATATGCCATGTGCTTGGGGCCTGCAAACATAGTAGGGTGGGCGGTGTTCCCAAAATGGAAATAATGAGGGCAAGTTTGCAAGTTTGCTACTCGAAGACGCCCTAGTTCAATGGGAAACAATAGGTCTTCGAGGCATCTCGAAGCAAAGCCATGCACACCACGCCGCGAGACAATTAATTCCATGGTGGTATTGGCAACGAAGTGTTGATGGCGGCCTAATTGTGCGTCTGATTGAGGTCTCTGGAGACAATAGGTCATTGAGGCACTGCGTCGTGCAACAACGCTATTGTTGGGACGCTCATGCTCTGAGCAGAGGATTGCGCTAATTGAGGACCCGACCAGAAGCAGTGTACAATAGCTGTTGAGCCCCCATCAAATTCAGGCGCAATGGCAGCCTCTCAACCGGCTATTGAGCTATTTAGCAACCTTGAGTTCCTCTATCATTTTGCAAGCAGATCCACGTACCAGTCCCATATTACTGCACCCTCTTACTCGGCTGACGAACACAACCAGGCTCAAAGCTTGACCTTGAACTCGTCTCATCCCTTGGAACCATCACTGGCCAAATATTTCAACTGACAGCGGTATCCAGGAATGGCATCGACCAGACTTTCAGGCTATTATCGATCTTCTTCGTAGGACGAATCGTCTCGTCCACAGCACTTATATCACGTGAGGAACGCCTCTGACCAGAAGTCGTTGCTGCTATAGTTCCCATAGGATGCAAAACAGTACTGCTCACGGCGTCTGTATATTGTAAGCTCGTTGGACTCCCAATCAATTCGTGATCACTGCTTACCATCATGGACCTTCCATTCCCAGTCACATTTTTGCGGTCCGGCAGTGTGTGTAGGATTTCGCCATACCCTCATATATCCATCAGTTCCTCCAGCCCAGATCTCATGGGACTCGCCCTGTGCGACAGGTACAACATCGATCTTCATGCGTTGGTTTGTGACAGCCCTTCGACCTTCTAGCCAGCCAAGAAGCTGCCCGGTGACTCTGGTGTCGAATATTAAGACCCCGTCGCTTTTCCGTTCAGCAATATACAAATATCTTCCGCAGGGACTCCAAAGCAGTTGCGTGACCCCGGCGCCGCCAATGTGGCGATGAGCGTCCGTCTTTGTAATGCTAAAGGTCCCGAGAGACTCTCCAGTCCCATTGGCCCCATACAGACCTATCTGCCTCGAAAATGTACCCGCAGCCAAGATACCATCTCCCACAGGATCGATGGCCATAGCCGAGATGATACCCTTCATCCCGACTCCTCCACCTACCATTTGCTTACGCTTACTGGGTATTGTAGGCATCCATGCGACGGGGCCCTCACTCCCTGGACGGGATACGTCGAAAAGACATATCAGGCTATCAGATCCAGTGAGGAAGTGCGTACCGCCCAGGGCTTGCGGATACACCATCGAGTGAGGCGTAATGAATGCCTCTGTCGTCGGATGTATAAGCGAGTAAGTTGCCACAGTGGTGGGCACAAGCGCAGACGCGAGTCTAATTGGGTGATCACGGACTGATGAGAGGAACAGAGTGGTAGACGGATCCCGAAGATTGAAGAACGGATAGATGGCAGTGGCGTACGTTGGCTCTGCTGAAGGCAGAACAGAGTAAGGGTCCAGCCGATGCGGTGATGATGTTCCTTCCAGCAAATCCGGAGGCCTATTTCTGCTCGTTAGTCCAGAAACGTCTCAACCCTTTCAGCATGACCTACAGAATATAGGTTCTGATATGATGATCCGCAGAATCAGTCAAGAGTGTGGTTCCATCCGGAGACCTATGCAAGTAACTGTTAGCCAAGGTTCCATTAATCGTGCATTCAGTCAGGTCCGTTCCAAAAACCTACCATTCCGCGCCTTTCACGTAATTAAGAGGTGGATCTATTCTATTGCTCTCTTTTGCTGACACAAATGAGAGATCCCGACTTTGTTGGAGAGATGACTGGACATTGAGTCGGATATCCTGTGCATCGTCCACTTGAGTCGAAGCCACGCATATTGGGCCTTGAACCAAAGAGTCCTTCTCAACCATCTTGCACAGGGAACTTTCAATGTCCACTATATTAAGAGGAGCAGGACTCTGATATATGACTATGATGCCTCAAATTCGAAGGCCGTTCGGAACCATGCAAGAACAAAAGGAGAGTTGTAGAGACTTGTCCTCCACGCTTTTCATCGCATCACTTCTAAGAACTGTGGTGACAGTGAGGGAACTATTCGCCTTCCTGCAATCACACTGCGCTTTATATAGTGAACTAGACGGAAGTGGATGGATGTCTCGGCGGCAAGAGCAAATGACAAACAGCCGAGCATCACAGTGATGAGTACAATGGGCAATCAATGAAGCCAACTGGCAAGTCTCCTTAAGCTACAGAGTGTTCGGTTGAGTTGGGAGATAGATCCATATATGTGTGTGTTGTGACACCGAGTTAGATAGACGTAACCCGAGTGGCATTAAGGCTGATGTGAGGACTGATCCCTGTATGCGATTTTATATGTTCTGCAGATGCCGGGTCCGATTTCCTATCTACCCTAGAGAGGTACACAGGCTTACAGCGGCGGCAGAAGTTAGAACGTCGGCCCCGGTGTATCTTTCCCCATTAATATTAAGATCAATTTCCCACTAGTCCACTCCGGGAGTTAGGGTGTACCTTTAGCTTCCTTACCTTGGTAACGCTGATATCTGCAAGACTGCAATAGCGCTGCACTTGCACTTATCTGCCCAAACATTTTTGCGCCGCCCTCCTGTCTCTTCGCTACCTCGACATCCGTACAGCTGAAAGAAAGAGCAGTAGGAAAGGTGTGACTTGATTTTATCTAATTCCTCCTTTACTCCCTGGTCAAAGAAGACGCTCCTTTTATGATGTTTTCCGCAAAACCTTCAACCGGCCTGTCCATAAACACCAATTCCGCCAATTCACTTTTGTAAGTGCGCCTGTGTCCAGAGCTCGGTCTGAAGCTTCAGCTCTAAGATCTGAGCTACAAATTCATGGATCGCGCGATTCAACTAAGCTAACGACTATTTACCTCGCGCAGTGGCGGATCTACTGCTCAAACTACATCATCTACAGCTACACCAGGGACAACGAGCACGTCGGGGGGTTTGTTTGGAAGCGCCAATGCGCAGTCAAAACCAGCGGGCGGCCTTTTTGGAAACCTTGGGGGAGGGAACGCACAACAATCTTCAAATACTGGGTCAAGTCTGTTTTCCGGCTTAGGTGGACAACAGCAGAATACTAACACCACTGCTGCTGGCGGCGGCCTGTTTGGAGGCTCTACGCAGGCCAGCTCGCAACCTGCAACTGGTGGGCTCTTTTCGGGGACTGCAGGCGCGGGCACTACCACGGCCCAAGGCGGAGGTACTGGTGGAGGGTTGTTTGGGTCCACGACACAGGCTCAGTCAAAACCGCTATTTGGCGGTCTGGGGGCTTCTACAACAACTGGGGGTGGCCTCTTGTGAGTGATCCGCGTGAGCCTTCTTTCGTTTCATCGACTAATCAGTGAGAAATCCAAGTGGTGGCGGCAACCAAACCAATACACAACAACAACAACAACAACAACAACAACAACAACAACAACAACAACAACAACAACAACAACAAGCACAGAAGCCCACGCTATCTCTCTTTGGGAATCAAAATGCCGCGCCCCAACTGTCGACACAACAAACAGCCACAAGCGGAACAGTGGTTCCCGGGGTCAAGGTAGATCTCAGTAACCTCTTGCCGACGACAAAGTACGAGAGTTGCGCCGACGAAATCAGATCAGAGTTGGAGAAATTCGACAACTACGTCCTGCTTCAAATCAAGCTATGTAACGAGGTCTCCAACATGCTTCCTACAATCGCAGGCCAGGCCGAGACCATTCCAAATGATGTGGATTTCGTCCAAGGCAAACTGGAAACCATTGAGCATGCGCTGGAGAACGACGCTCGCGATATTGATCAACTACGCAGCCTCGTGTCTCGCGATGCAGCCGAGGCACAAGTGGCGTTCCGTGCTATCGATACATTAAAATTACCCCTGCAATATCAATCTGCGGGGGGCGCAGGGTGGTGGTCAGCCCAGGATCAAAAGGGATCCGATCGCCAGGCGTTGCGATCCACGCGCAAGAATACTCTCGCTCTTCCGGACGATGTCGAGACCGACGCCTCGTCTGCCACTTCCATCAATGGTGTGCCAGTAAACCTTGTCGACTATTTCTCTCAGCGCTCTGACGAGATGGGTACGGTTCTTGAACGATATACCCGCAATTTGAAGGAGATCGAAGACCACCTTCATGGTATCGAGCTTTCACTGAACCGTCAGATTCAAGAATTTGTTGCTTCACGAAGTCGAGATGGAGCGACCGCTGGAACCCAGAAATCGAAGCTCAATGATCTTGCAGCGGTGCTTGGAGATGTGGAGAACGGTATACTTGGCGTTGCTAGTAGGCTCGGTGCGGTCACGGAACAGGTGCAGGAAGTGGTATTGGGTCCGCCGTCGGGAGATAGTAGGCTTAATTAATGATAAACCTCAAGCGGCATGCATAATGAGGTGAGACGCCCATTAAAGTGGCGTCAAGCATCTTGGGTCATTTCAGGACCGATTTTTGCATGTACAACTCGATCACCTAGGTTTCTATCGCTACTTAGAGAAGTCTTGTATTTCAGCATGAGTATTAGGGCCAGGCGTTGCAAATGAGCGATGACAGGATTGTTCTCTTTCCGATCAGATATTGATATTCACAATATGCTTGTTTTCCTGGTTGAAAACTTCTTCTTCTTCTATGGTGCTTTTTTCGACTTAGCCCGACGTACAAAGTAGAGAGAGATCATCGTCGGAGTAAATCAGAACTTCCCGCTGTGCAGAGCATCAAAACACAAATACAAGGCCAGCCAACAAATCCTCGGTGGTGGCCATGAATATAAGGTATCCATGGATGATCCAGATTGCCTCACACAAACGCAAGAGAATGGCGGAGTTGCGTGATCGCAATACCAGAGATGCAGCTTACAGCCACTCCCGGACGCCGGCTCCAACTTTGTTTCAACTGCGTACTTGTTCTGCATTGAGAGGGTTATTTGCCGTGTACTCGCCTATTCATTTGTATTCTTTACGGGCCGTGGATATTATTATTTCAGATATATATACTCCGTACAGATACAAGAATACCTTAACAACTGCTGGATCACTGGTAGACGCTTGGGACGGTGGCAGGTTGCCTAGTGATCACTGACTGAGTCAGATCTGACGGCTTCTTCGCGCCTTCGACCCTCGATTAAATGATGTGACGTGATGTCTGATCATGATGGCGATGTGACTTGATCAAATCCACTTCCTGGCTCTCAGTCTCGTTTCTGGGTATTCTAGTTGGGTGATTGTCCCCAGAGATGGCGCCATTTTCGCCAAACCGGACTCATGAATGATGCGTAATACTGGCACGCAATCCTTCGGGGTACCTCCCAGGTGCTCGTATATGTAAATACAGCTGGAAGACGGCAATATCCAGGTTCTTGGTCCATCAAGTCTTTTGTTTCCCCCTTAATCCTTCTTCTCCAGCACTTAATCTATCATATACCAGCCGCCTTCTAGCCCTAATCGCTACGAGCCTACGATATACTACAAGCACAAGATAAACTGAAGAATACACTATGGCACCATTGCTGGAGGAACCAGCGGCTACTCCTTACCTTGGTCACTTTACTGTTCCCAAGAAGGAGACTGCAGAGCACAACAAATTCTGGTACGAGCCAGGGCGCACAACAGTCAAGAGACATGACGATTACCCTTACGAGGACCTTCTGCCCTCGTTTCCTGATGTTCGGTGGGAAGCTATAGGGGAGGTTCCATACGAAGATAAAGGGCTTCGGGGAGACCCAAAATTCCGTCACTTGCTCCAAGATGCAACTGACGTCTTTGACTACACACCGCGAATTGGAACGGAAATACATGGAGTCAATCTGGCCAGGCTCAATGATGCCCAGAGGGATGACCTTGCACGCCTGATCGCCGTCCGTGGCGTGGTATTTTTCCGCAATCAGAAGGATTTTGATATTGACGCTCAACGGGAGTTGGGGAAATATTTCGGGACATTGCATAGAGTGAGTCTTGTCTCCCCCAGGTCGTCGTGAGGTCGTGACTGGTCTCTAACAGTGATTTAGCATGCCACTACTGCCGTACCAAAGAAGAAGGGGTTGGAAGACGTGCATGTTGTTTATACTGGGGACAACTCCTCCGACCAGCGAGCACTGTTTTCCCCTAGCTTCCTATGGCATTCCGACGTAACATATGAGGTTCAACCACCATCATACACATCATTGAAGGTCTTGACGGGTCCTCCTCGAGGCGGCGGTGGCGACACTCTCTGGTCGTCTCAATACGCGGCATACGACGCTCTCTCATCGCACATGCAGAACTACCTGAAGGGCTTGACTGCTCTTCATACAGCCAACATGCAGGCATCAGACTCACGAGCTCTTGGTCGAACCATTCGTCGTGAGCCGATCACCACAGAGCACCCTTTGATTCGCACGAATCCAGTTACTGGCTGGAACAGTCTGTTCTTCAATCCTGGCTTCGTAACCAAGATTGTGGGAATCCCGAAAACAGAGAGTGACGCCATCATAAGGTACCTCACCGAGGTTGTTGCCACCACGCAAGAGGCGCACGCTCGTTTCCAATGGGGTGAGAACGATGTGGCTCTGTGGGACAATCGAACAACAGTGAGTGACGCGCAGGTATTCTCCATCATGATTCCTTCTGACTTTCTGATAGAATCACTCCGCTTCTTATGGCTTTTCTCCCCACCGTCGTCATGCTGTTCGAGTCGCCTGCCACGCTGAACGCCCCTACTTCGACCCCGAGGGCAAATCGCAGGAGGAGGAATATAATGCTTACTATAACCTACCAGCCGTGAACAAGGACGGCTCGCGTCAATCCAACTACAACGATTGATCTTTGGGGCTGGTCCCTTCTCCTTATCCTTGGCGGCTGTGAGTTGAGAGAACTTATTGCACATACACTTCTCGACGACGGCACCAAGCAAACATAATGAACGCTTTATGATAGATAAGAAATGATAGTTACTTCTGAATATGTCTGTGAAGAGAGTGATCAAATGGATGTGTGCTTCTTCTCATCTAGGAAATGTTTTATGATATTGTCATGGTACTACAGCATTGAATAATATACACCAGTATATATTCTAATAGTGCTAGAGACGCTTCACTGATGTTCAGCTCTATCACTTGTAAAGTGCGAATAGACAGGACATCGGCTTACACACGTGTCTGAGGTGAAGAATCACAACGCCTACCCCAGTAGAAGACTGTTAGTCTCGTCATCCACAACCCACTCCACTGAATCATTCTCGATGTCAGCAAAACACGAACCATCTCTTCTCGAATATGCCAGATTCCACGGAATCGCTCATGACTATACAGCAATCGATCCCTGCCAGCAACTTGATCACTCCCTCAAACTGCCACCAGATGATCCTCCCGTGCCCGAAGACATGCTGAAATTGCTCGATAAATACCTCCTCCCCACACAAGAATCTGACGAGAAAGCCATCCGCGAAGAGAAGCTCAATGTGAGAAAAGAGGATATCCGGTTTCTCTCTGCAGTCCTTCGTGACATGAGAACCCATGCATTTGAACTCAACCTGGAAGATCATTTGACGGCCATTAACCGTCTCAACAAGCTCAAGCTGGAACCTCCCATCTTCAGTCTCGATTATGAGACGCACTCGGCACTTCCGCAAAGGCCGGTGCTCTACGATCTCGAGCAATTGCACCTGTCTCCTCTCGAGGAGGCTCCCGAGTATCGATTTGAGTCTTTGGCGAAGAAGGCAGATGAGTTTAGTGAAGAGGCCAGGAATGAGAAGCTCAACTGTAACAGAGAGTCTTTTGTGCTCGTACAAGATGCAATGAAACTTGGAAATGTGTCTTCGAATCATCTGGATAATATACTAGCACATGCCATCCAACCAGTGAGTATCTTGAAGAGCGTTGAGCAGCAGCACACTAATTTGATTCTCATCTCCTGCAGATAAACTCTGTCCGCTCGCTATCTCCTGCTCTTGTACCTTTGGACGTGGACGATTTGTCCTCCAGCAGTCCCTCGCCTGACCCAGAGCTTCAGATGCTACCCAGTCCTGCCTCGACCGAGATCCTGGAAACATCGAAGCCACATAACCACCCGTCCAAAGATCCTGATGCAAGGCACGGCCCTCCTTATGTCCTCGATCGCGTACGGCGGACTTCTAAGGGAGGTGCCGATGGCATGATGCAGATAGATCAGCACCTGTCAGCAGCTGAAGGACTGCAAATATGGGAACATGCAGCAACGGTAGGTCTAAATGAGCCTTGCGAATCCACTGCGTTTGCAGCCGAGAAGCGAAGAGGTCAAGGAAATTCACAAGATATACAGCTCCAGACGAACCTAATTATTCCGAAACTAGCCAACCAGGATGATCCCTCCCAGGATGAAGAACCAGCTTCACATTCCACCCTGTTAGCAGAACGAGAGGTGTCGGAGAAAGAACCTGAATGGCTGGTGACTGAAACTCCAGTCAAAGAGAATACAGCAGTAGTTCTACAGTCTCGATCTGTATCAATCTCCCCGTCCACAACCTGCTATTCTTCGCATACAAATGACGCAGCATTTGAAGCGTCCATTCAATGTTCTAATAAAGATCCAGAAGAGTCAGACGCTCATCACTCAGCCCCAGAGTTCCATTCCTCCAGTACTCAGGGACAGGCCAACAGGAAATCGTTCAGCAACATAACTGTTGAAGCAGGCATTGTATCAACGGATCATAATGTCCCAACACCATCAGTCCTTGGTTCCCAGATTGTCACAAAACAGGGACAATCAACCAGTAGGGCCCAGCAGAGCAATATACGCGCTTTTATGGTCGGCGATAGTGATTTGACTGCAACGAATCAGGCTCGGCTTCAGACCAATACTTCTGCCATCGTCCTCAATCAACATTTACAGCAGAGGAAGAGGAAGCGCCAGCTTACCAACGAGAGTTTCGTCGAAGCCTCGCAGTCTGAGCAACAGGAGCAGCAGAGGCAGCCGGGGAAACCATCATTTACAACTCTGGGTTCCTTGGCCGCCTTCATGGAGACAAGAGGGCGAAACGAGAAGCGGCATATGGTGACACAAAGCCCATACTTCCCAGGGGAAAAGTCTACCGACGTTTCCAAGCGACAAAGTGATGAAGTGAGCACCGAGAAGCCCCGAAGCTGCTCAAAAGCGCCAGACGAAAGCGACAACGGCCCGGATATACTACAGACAGCCACACAACTTCCTCGCTTTCAGCAGCAGACGGGAGAACAGCCGATCCTGTTCTTATCAACCACCCTTCTGAAGAGTCATCTTCGGCTTGTACGCTGTCTTGAAGGAATGGCAGGCCAGTTAGTAATCGTATATAGAGACTATAATCAAGAAAACCCTGGTAGTGAGCCTCGGGGAAAGCATACAACCTCTGGCATGAACAACAACCCCACTCGTCAAAT